ATTAAGCAAATAATTTATCGAAATATTTAGCAATTGATAATTGTTCGAGGACAAATGTTATTTAGTTGTATTGAAGAAGTTTGATATAATAAATTTTTTTTATAATAAACATTTTTATCCCAGTTATCTTTTGTTTTGATTTTCTTTTTCTGTGGATAACATCTATTTCCCCTTTTTTATTTTGTGGTTAAACTATTTTTTTTAAGAGGGTAAAGTATTTATCTAGTCATCCGATGTTATTTTTAGTGGTTTCCTAATCTATGTCATTTTGAATTTATTAAGGATATTTTCATAATTTAAGAAAATTAATGAAAGATGTTTCGATAAAATTTAAATGATAAAAAATAAACAAATTATGAAAACACCCTTCGTTAATTTAAAATGACATAATTTTGAGATTATTGAAGATAATTCATTTTTTGGGGAAATATTTTACCCTTTTTTCAATATATTAAACTATTTTCTTTTTTGTTCACGTGCGTTTGAAGTTACCGTGCCATATTTAGTCAATTTAATCGGGGGAAGAATATAGTTATCATTGAATTTATCACGGTTTTTTGACCCTTTTGCCCCTCATTAATTAATTAATAACCAATTTGTCCTTCTCCCAAAATTATCCACCATCCTGCCCCCATTTAGTCGATCAACTTGCATTTTTAATCGACTAAATGGTCAAAATTCAGAAAACATGAATCATGAATTTTAGTCGACTACATCCTCACCTTGATCGACTACATTTCGAGCACTTTTAATCGACTAAGGACATTATTTAGTCGATTAAAAGTCACAGATCAGGTTTTTTAAAACCCCCCCATTTCGCAAAGGGGGTTATTTTCAAACCCTAGTCGATTAAAAAGGCTCCAAGAACCCCTCTCTTCAACCAAGCCCGAATCCCATCCCCTTGAAAGTCCGATTGCACCATCATTGGTTCACAACTTGCGAAATTGACATTGTAGGTAACGTTTTCTGACTTGCATTTGATTTTTTTTTTTTGTTTTCTCCATGCTTTGGTTTCTGTTTTTTTTAATTTCTTGTTTATGGTAGAAGGTTGTTTGAGTTTTTGTGGCTTTATGTTAGGAGTAGGGTGTTGAGTTTGATGTGAGGGTTAGTGCTAGGGTTTATGTGGTAGGTTAGGGTTAGGGTTTCTGTTTTTTTGTTAGGGTTTAGGCTCAGGGGTTTTGTTTGTATGTTAGGGTTCAGGGGTGTGTTGGCTGTTTTATTTTAGGGTTTGGGGTTAGGGTTTGATTTTTATATTGAATTTTGAAAATTTTTGATATTGATATTGGTTCCACTTGCATTGTAGGTACCGTTGTTACCATGGCTGGCTGTAGAAGATAGAATAACGTGGAAAATGAGAGACGCACAAAGCGACGACAAGACCGGCCGTCTTCGTCAAGGCCACAAGACGAAGAGCCTGCTCCTGTCGACCTCACATTCGGATACTTGTTCGAGCATGACCCATTGGTTCATGATGCATTTGTCTGTGACCATGCTAACCGACCCATATGTCTGGCCAAATCACTTGATACAACATTTTTTGAAGTGGAAGGTTTTAACATTGTGAGCTGGTTGGAGGGAGCACATCTTAGGGTTTTGCCTGAACTGGTGTGTCCATATTCAGAGCTACGCGTACGGGCCTTCTACCATAACCTCAGCTACGTACAGGGTGACCTGAGGTCGAGGGTCTGCGGGGTGGAGATCATCATGACGGCTCCGGTATGGTTAGAGTTACTGGGGTATGCCTTTGATTCTACGCAGACTGTGGAATATGACACAGATAGCAGCGTCACACTTCCAGGATATACACGAGGTGATGCCGTGCAGGAGCAGAGAAGAGTCCGTGGGCAACACATGCACTATACGGTGGGGTTGCTTACTGCGGAGTCCCGTATACTACACTATGTCATCACCCACATTCTGTTTTCGCGAGCGTTCAATCATTCCAGGGTGTTGGAACATGACATTCCCATCATGTGGGCTATCCGACATGGTACTTCGGTGAACTGGATGCACTACATCTGTTGGATGATGTTTAAGGCCAAACACAAGGGTGAACTTCCATTTGATTGTCTTGTTCAGAGGATATTGGGTCACTTTGGTGTTCCCATGAGCAATGTGACCTTGAAAAAGACCACAAGGTATAATTGAAAGTTTGGAAAGCGTCTACTGGAGCAGTGCAAGATGACAAAGAACATACAAACGGGTGTGTGGCAGTTCACAGGTGCGGCTGATGTTGAGGTTCCTAATGTTGCTCCACTTGCATACATGGTTGATCCCGAGGTGGAGGATGATGACGACGATGATGATGAGACTGTTTTGCAGGATATAGCTGAGCCTGAGGGTGGGTTTTCATTGCGTGATGTCATGAAGGGCATAAACGCCACACTGAAGAAAATAGGAAAAATGGCGCTGAAACACAAAAAATGGAGGAAAAGTCACATCCAGAAAGGGAATGAAAGGTTTAGACACGTACAGGGAAGGTTCAAGGGTGTTGAAGATAGGCTTGCTCGTCTAGAGCTTGGACGAGGACAGCAGGTTGAGGATGTTGCAGGGCAGGGGGCTGATGTGTCAGATGAGGATGACGAGGAGACGACGTCCGGGGAGGAGGAGGATTAGATTAAGGGTTATGTTTTTATTTTACGTTTGTAGTGTATGTTGTTATGTAATTGACTTCGGTCTTCCTATTTGACACTTGTAGTTTATGTGGTATTATGTTTAGGGGCTGGACTATTTAATGTTATCAACTTTGTTGTTACTTATTACTTATCTATGTCATTTTCATTGTTTACCACATGAAGGATCATGGTATTTTTCCATGAAATTTTTCAATTTGGGTTTAATCACACCCCAACAGGTCTAAAATGTCTAATGCAACTCAGAACAGTCACTCATAAAAGAGTTAAATGACTTTACCAAGTTTCGGGTACCCTAAACCAACATTTAGCCAATACATGTACATATATGGTTTATAAGTGCCACGATACTTTTTTGTACCCCAAATTATGTTCCCCAAGTCATAATATGCGTGTACATTAATGTACAATCGGTTCCATGCCAAAAAAATTAGAGGAAAACAGAATGGGGTGCCAAAACCTATTATGTAATCGATCAACCTGTACTGGTTTAGTCGACTACATAACATGTTTTGGCACCCCATTCTGTTTTCCTATAATTTTTTTGGCATGGAACCGATTGTACACTATTGTACACGCATATTATGACTTGGGGAACATAATTTGGGGTACAAACAAGTAAATGGTCCATTCGTATGCATTGTTGGGTACGTATTGATGGAAACCGTTTGTTTACACTCCCTGAAACTTGGTGAATTCATTTTGGGGTCATATTAGTAATTGTTATGAGTTTCAATCTATCAATATGGGCCAATATTACTAATTTGAATACAAATCAACATACAAACAACATAAAGTAACATACAGTACACATTGTAACATAAAGTTTCATAACTTAATTACATGAACTAAACCATAAACACAGTAGCTCCCTCCCATGGTGCTCACTAACATCAACTTCATAAATACATGCATAACATTGGTTCAACTCTGTCTAATCCTCATAAGGCATGTACGTTTATTGTGACCAATTTGCTTGCAGGTGCTACATCTACTTTGACTGCTTGTGGGTTGGGACTCAACCCAATCCATCTCATTTTGTATCCTTGAAGACTTCGGTATTCCTTGTGCACGAACCAAAGATGCATTTGGGATAATTGTTGGACCATCTATTTCTGGAATCAACAACTCATGTCGTCTTCACTGTCCATATCCTCCTCATGCTCATCCTCATCCTCGTCTATTTCCCTCAGTGTTATCTGACTTAAGACAGGTGCAGGTGCAGATAAATCGACCACTCTGTCTTCTTGACTTTGACTTCTTTCATACATATGTGCAGATGAAGATTGACCACAGTCTATTTCAACATATATCTCAATAAAGTTTTGAAATTTTCGGTCCACAATTGTATCTATGACACATTCCACATCTTCATTGTCACATATATCATTACCAATGTAGAATATAACATCCTTACCAACTGTAGACTCTACCCCGACGATCATCCGTTGAACGCACTAGCTGCCTTGTAGCCCCAATTTTTGGTGAATCCTCCCTTTCAGCTCATTGTACGTAGTACCCCGTTTGATTTTTAACATTTTCGTTTTTCCTTCAAATTGAACACCGTTGGGGCCTTCATAATGCTTTCCATCATAGTAGATCATTGTAACATACATGTTTGGGTTTAAGCTCATCTTTCACACGAATTTGGGGGTAGGAATCGGATTTTAGGGTTTTGGGTTCGGATTTGGGGGAAACAAATGAGAAAATAAGGGGAATGACAATGATTTCACAATTATTATGATTTAGAGATGGTGGGATGAAATGGAATCGTTATTGGAAGGATCACAATTGACAAACAAGAGATAGAGGGGTGGATATAGGGTTTTCTGCGACTTTTAATTGACTAAATAATGTCCTTAGTCGATTAAAAGTGCTCGAAATGTAGTCGATCAAGGTGATGATGTAGTCGACTAAAATTCGTGATTCATGTTTTCTGAATTTTGACCATTTAGTCGATTAAAAGTGCAAGTTGATCGACTAAATGGGGGCAGGATGATGGATAGTTCTGGGGGAGGGACAAATTGATTATTAATTAATTAACGAGGGCAAAAGGGTCAAAAAGCCAATTTATCACCTCTTATCTTTAAATTTTAACTATTAATTTCTATTAATTTAACTATTATAATTTATTTAAAATTAATGAATACATATGATTTAATAAATTATAATGTTAGATTGACAAAAAAACAATATTTAATCAAATTAATATTTAATGATAACAAGTGATAAACTAAATTAGTGACAAGTGAATCATTAATCATTTAATATTTAATTTAGGGAAAAAAGTAAATAAAGTTAATAGAAAAAGATTAAACCAGATGTGTTGTTGACATGTTCATTTTATGCAACTGCAACTGCAACAGACGTAGTTGTTTCTCTCTCTAGGGTTTCACTCTCCACCACCATACCTCAATCGGATCGCTGCCGTTCACGGCGTCATTCCGATAACTCGGCAGCATGAAGCTCACAGTGAAGACTTTGAAAGGGAGCCATTTCGAAATCAGGGTTCAGCCCTCCGACACTGTCAGTATTCTCATTGCCAATTTAGCTCGCTCTGACCCTCTTTTCCTTTTCGGTTGCAGTCTTCGGTATCAATAGTTGCTTTCTTATTTCCCAATCTGTCATTTTCAGTAACGAAAAAGTCTGTATGATTTGTTCATTGAATTGGTTTGTTTGTTTCAAATTTTGGAAGCCAACTTTTTTAAAAAAGAAAAATTCAATTTTCAAAATCATTGTCGTCATCGTAATTGTTATTAGTCAAATTCAGCTGCCTTTAATTTTGTTTGTATTTGCATTGCATACATTCATTTTTTCCACCAACATTGTATATGTTCATTTATTATTTCGTGGATGGATGCTTTATTATTATTATTTTAAGGATTTTGTATGTTTCGGACGTGATCCTCAGATTGTGGTGCTGGTTTTGTTTTTATTGAGATTGTTGGTACTTCATTGACTGGCTTTTGTGTTTTTTGCTCTCTTGTTTACACTACATTGAGTATTAATCTCAGTTCCATGTTGTCTCTTAATTAGAATATGAATTTGTTACTAGGCTTTATGTCGCATGTGGTAAATTTTAGAAGTGCTATTTTCCGATTTCTTTTTTTTTTTTTTTTTAATTTGCTGAAATTGTCCTGCTATTTTCACCTCAGATTATGGCTGTCAAGAAGAATATCGAAGATGTACAAGGCAAAGATAATTACCCATGTGGACAGCAATTGCTGATTCACAATGGCAAAGTTTTGAAAGATGAAACTACATTAGTAGAGAACAAAGTCTCCGAAGATGGCTTTCTTGTTGTCATGCTTAGTAAGGTACATTTCTTCCTTCATGAAAACTTTGTCAAACAATTGCCCCTTTTTTTATTGGCAAGTCACCTACATACTGACTGTGATTTGAGCTCTCTTGTTTGTATCCGGAATTAGTGATTACACAAGGCTGTATTTTGTAACGCAAGGGCCTTAAATCCACCATCATGAGCCACTCAGTGTTTTCTATTTCATGATTTAAAAATGGAAACCAGATGTTGTGCCTCACTCATTCGTAGTGAAATTTTTTTCCTTTAAATACACAAATCTAATGCTTTGCTCTCTATCATTTAACAAAGAAAATTGATAAGAACCTTTTGCTTCGATTCTCTCCCCAATATTTTATCTCTACTTTATGAGAAATATTAGATCTTGCCATATAATATCTACTATGCCGTCTGTTTCAATCAGATAAACTCGGTTTTAGACATTTTTCTTTCAATAGTTCCTTTCATTATGCTTTGGCATTTTTTTTCCGCAAGAGGTGGTTTATAACTTCTTTAATCATAATATGCCATTTTACCTCTCTATTTACAGAGTAAAACATTGGGTTCTGCTGGGGCCTCATCTGTTCAGGTATTTTACTTTCTCATTTTTATTGCCTTTTTGGCGGTTAATTTTCTTTCTTTTTCCTCTCTGTATTCGCTAGTGATTGTGCATGTGTGTAACAGCCTGCTAGCAACCCTCCTACAAGTGTACCAACATCAAATTCCGCACCTGCTCCTGAACCTCCAGTACCAACTCAGTGAGTCTATCTTAAAAATGTTTTTGATTAAGTTGATTTGTATATCAGCTGAATTTTCTTCCTAATTATTTTATTTGGTTTCAGGGCTGCAAACAACAGTACATCTGGCCTAGACTCCACGACTACAAAGTATAGTTTTTCTCTCTGCATTTCTCTTAAGATACTGTCAATAAATTCTAATGAAAATTTTATTCAGGATACCAAATTGAACTCCCTTGAAATAGTTACTGAGGGAGGACTGCTGACAAGAAGATATCCTTTTGATCTCTAGTAATAAATTCAAGAGGAAAAATGTGTTTGTTGTAATTTGAATTTGAATCTTCACTATTATGGTTTGTCTTTTCCTCATGAGTTTCTTGTGAGCCATAATTCTTTTAACCAAATTAATTATTATGAAGTTGACATTATAATACTGGAAGAAATACAATTTTCAATTCAAATATTTTTATTGAATGCTCTTTAGGGATGCATTTGGTTACTGTACAAGTCTTTTTTGATTAAAATTTGAGGTTGTCTGATCGTAGTTATTTGGTAGATGCTTATCCAAAATGTTATGCCCTCACGCTTCTCCTTTTTTCTTTGAGCTGAAGCATTATGGAAATATATTGTTTGTCATTGACATTGTTCCCTTTCCTGTCATCAAGCCTTCTTATAAATGCTTCTTTTGCAGTGTGTCTGCAGATACTTATGGTCTGGCTGCTTCAAATTTAGTTGCTGGTAGTAATCTTGAGCAAACTATTCAACAAATTATGGACATGGGCGGTGGCAACTGGGACAGGGATACAGTTACTCGTGCTCTTCGGTCAGCTTATAATAACCCAGAGCGTGCTATAGATTACTTGTATTCTGTATGTATTAACAGCTGGTATTTCTTTGACTGCTTAAATTTTCTGTTGTATATGTTGGATTTAACAACTCTCTTTTTTTGTGTGTTTTGTGTGTATGTGTGTGTATTTTTGGCAGGGAATCCCTGAAGCAGCAGAAGTTGCCGTACCAGTTCCTCACTTTCCAGGCAGTCAAACAACTGAAACAACTGGGGTCTCTGCTGGAGCAGTTCCTGGGGCACCTAACTCATCTCCTTTAAATATGTTTCCCCAGGTAAAACTTATGACTCTACCTTGGTATTTGCATCTTTTTCTGTTACTGTTTGCGCTTTATTTCAAGCTGAAACTCTCAGGAGACGATTTCTGGTACTGGTGCTGGACTTGGATCTCTTGACTTCCTTAGAAACAATCCCCAGGTAAGTTTGTTGCTCCATCAATTGTTGTGCTCTACTACAAATAACCCCTGAAGCATTCATTCATTTCATCCACCCAGCTTGAATACTATGATTTACATCTCCCTTTATTTTTCCAAATTGCTTTGTGTTATAGATCTAAGATACCTAAGTTGTGTGACGTGGTATGGTATGATCTCCAATTTTCACCTCCAAGCTGGTTTTAGCACTGGCCTTGAACTTGCATTCTATATTCCATAAGTAAAAAGATTGGTTGGTGGAGCATTCTATTGTCAGTTACAATTAATTTGTTATTTTTATATGATCGGAGCTAGTCAAAAAAAGCATTACGAGTTTTTATATGCCTTAATTGATAGCAGTGGCTAGACAATATACTGCAGAACACCTGTTATTCCTATCTAGTTTTGAGCTTTTCCATGTAGCCAACCTCACCTATGGGGATAAGGCGTCTTGTTATTTTTTCTGTTGTATCTAGCTTCGAGCATTATTTTGATAGTTTTTAAGTAACTGCTTTGTTGCATGCATTTTCAGTTTCAAGCATTGCGTTCAATGGTGCAATCCAATCCACAAATTCTACAGGTATTTACTTTCTCAATTACCTTGACTTTTGGTTATTTGTTGATGTCTAATGATCAATCCACTTTCTATTGCAGCCTGTGCTTCAGGAACTTGGTAAGCAGAATCCCAATCTTTTAGGACTGATTCAAGAGCATCATGCGGAGTTTCTCCAGTTGATAAATGAACCTGTTGAGGGTTCTGAAGGGTGAGTGTATTGCTTACCATATATGGTATATCAAGTTATCATGTCATTTTACATTTTATAACCATTACTGAATGCCATCGTTGTCTTTCTTCATATACTGCTTCAGTTGTTGGTTGTCAAAAGCTTTTCCCATATTTGTAACGTGAAAGTAACGTTTCTACTTTTTAGCTTGAAATCCTGTAGGATATAATATTGAATTAGGAGTTTATCCACTTCACTTGATTTTTTTATTTTCACACAAATCTTGAATTTAGAAATATAACACCCTTTTTGTGTCAGGGATATATTTGGGCAGCCTGAGCAAGACATGCCTCATGCTATCAATGTGACTCCAGCTGAGCAGGAGGCAATTGGAAGGGTATGTCTCTCCTTTGTTGTAGTCTGATACGTGCCATTTTCATTCCCAGAGTTGTTCCTTTAGTCTTCATATATGTTGATTGATTTTTTCCTATGATTCGTAGCTTGAGGCAATGGGATTTGATAGAGCATCAGTCATAGAGGCATTTTTGGCATGTGACCGTGATGAGCAATTGGCTGCCAACTACTTATTGGAGAATGCTGGAGATTTTGAGGATTAAATCACTAACCTATAGACATCGATTCATAGTTTTGTTCGGCTCTTTTTTTTTTTTTTTTTGTTAAAGAAAAAAAAAAAAAAAACTGAATTGTGTCTTTATTGGAAAATTTATTGGGTAGAGTTTGTATTTGGATTTCGGTTGACATTATGTCATCGAAACAACAGACTATTACAATTGATTTTAGAATCCGGTTTTTATGCTAATGTGAGTTGTCTTCGCTGATGAAGTAGTAAAGGTATAATTTTAAGTTTATTTATTGGTATCATTTTAAGTGACATCAATATTAGATCTATGCATAGCAGCAAATACAGCCATATCCGTGTTTATTTTCCCCCTACTCTTTACCTTTTTATTGTAAATATATTATATATATGGATTGTGAAAAAAAAGAAACGGAGAGTAATCCGTTGTTGAGAAGACTGTCGCAGGATTGTAATAAGGGAAATACTTTTCTCGTGTGGTTGAAGATAGCTATCTTATGTTATCGAATTTTTGGTTTTGTGCGAATTTGGGCTAACTTGGACCTTTTTGTTGTTGTTAAAATTGAGCTTTTGGAAAAAAAAAATTATTTCTCTGAAAATAAGTTAAAACAAACATACATGAAATTTTATAGAACTGTTTTTGCGCTGTAATCATATGTTCTTCAGATATTGATATAGTGCATGATATAATACGCTAACACAATAATTTTAAAAAATATTAAATTGACATATTAAAATATGTTTTGATATTAAATAATTTTTTTTTTTTTTTGCGTTAATCAAATCTTAATTATCTTTTTTATGTGAGTTCGCTTTTTCTGATATTTTCATAAGTTTTGACTCTGAGTCGGCTATGAGATTAATAATATAGTTTACATTCAATGCATATAGCAGCTTATAATAAATAATATAACTAATTAAATATTCAAATTTCATAATATAAATATAAAGTAAAAATAATTTTTCATGTCTTGTTAGTGTTTTATGTTAAATTTCATAACAGAAAATATTTGATTTATAAATTAATTTTTTATATTTAATTAAAAAGATAAAATAAAATAAAATTCGGATAAAAAAAACATTGAAAAACGTTGATCACGTATCAAAAAATTAATCGTATGGTTTAGGATTTAAAGTTTACAACTAATGGTATCAAAAAAATATGTTGATACCCACACGCGTGTGTTTTTCCTTCTTGTCATCTATACTGGCTTTTTGACTCTTATAACCCTTTACTAATAAATAATTACTAAATTGACCTTCATTATAAACTATTTCAAAAATTTAACCCCCCTAAAAAACATAACACCAATCTGCCCCTGTTTGAGCGTTGACCACTAAGCCTACCCGGGTACACCCCTCCCTACCCGGGTATTTTTTGAAATTTTTTGTATACCCGGGTAGGGAGGAGTGTACCCGGGTATTGTTCTTGATTGCTTGAATTATTTACCCGGGTAGGAATGAGTGTACCCGGGTAAATGTTCTTTATTTTAGTGATTAGTGATTCATTACTTAATTACTTGCCACACGTTCTATGTTTCTCGTTCTTTATGGTTTCCATGAACAGCGTTAGTGTTCATTTCTTTACTTTTTTTTTTTTTACTAAGCATCTACCTAATTAACTTATCTAAAAATTCTTTCGAGGAACCGCAGGCATTGGCACAATACGTGTTTGAATCATTGTGGGTTAATAAGAAGAAGATTTACCCGGGTACACTCATCTTTACCCGGGTAAATAATTCAAAAAATCAAGAACAATACCCGGGTACACCCCTCCCTACCTGGGTATATAATTCAAAAAATCAAGAACAATACCCGGGTACACCCCTCCCTACCCGGGTATACAAAAAATTTCAAAAAATACCCGGATAGGGAGGGGTGTACCCGGGTAGGCTTGATGGTCAACGGTCAAACAGGGGCAGATTGGTGTTTTGTTTTTTGAGGGGGTTAAATTTTTGAAATAGTTTATAATGAAGGTCAATTTGGTAATTAATTATTAGTAAAGGGTTACAAGGGTCAAAAAACTCCATCTATACTCTATAGAGAATAAAATATAAGGTCATTGAGTTCAGGCTAATTACTCTACAGAAATTTGATATGTTCAAAAATAACCCAGTAGTCCAATTTGTTTCTAACTCAAAATAAACTTGATATGTTCAAAAAGGAAAACAAAGAGAGAGAAGAGAGTAAAAAATAAACTCACACAAAACGTACAGGTAATTAGTTTCTTCTTTCTTTAAGCACTCGATTAATTTTTGCTTTTTACATACGAGCTCATGAACTAACAATGTAATTAATCTAATTATTTGGCGAAATAAGTCATCATAATTTTATAATATTGATATATGTATTTTTTAAAAACATTAAGTTCAGTAAAATAATAATAATAACTGTGGATATACGAAATTTTCCATCTATTTATTTTATATAAAAATGATATGTTGAGTGAGGAGGAGCAAGAGAAACAAATAAACATCGGGCGTTGCTCCTTTACCTGATCTCTAATCCCTAATTTGTAGAGATGGCAGCAACAATGGGTGTGGCTTCTCAGACCTCAACGCGTGTTCTTCTATTTCACCCAATCCAACACCGGCGAACTTCTTCTTCTCCTCCTCCTCCTTCTCGTTATCTCTTGAACCAGAAATCTGAATGTGTTTCTCTGAGGGGGCGTTATTCCCAGTGCAATCGTGCACCTGTTGTTTCGTGCAGACAAAGCGAGGCACACGATAATGTTCTGTCGGGGTCCACTCGCACCGTGACAACCTTGTTGGGCATGGCCGTGTTGTTTGTGAAAGGGTTTGGGAAGATTGCACTTCAGAATTTGAATTTGAATCTGTTGAGTCGCAATATCAATAGCAATAGCATGTTGTTGGGTGGTGGTGAATTGTTGTTTGCCTCTTTGAAGGACCGTCCGAGTGGTTATCTGAACACGCCGCTGACGGTTGTGGCGGCGGGATTGGGGAAGTGGCTTGACATATACAGTGGGGTTTTGATGGTTAGGGTTTTGCTGAGTTGGTTCCCAAACATCCCGTGGGAACGTCAACCTCTGTCTGCAATAAGAGACCTTTGTGATCCTTATCTCAACTTGTTCCGTAATATAATTCCCCCAATTTTTGATACCCTTGATGTTAGTCCTCTTCTTGCTTTCGCCGTCTTGGGCACTCTTGGCTCCATTCTTCAGACTGCTACCTAGTCACTAGTCACTCCTCTTCTACAGGTTTGTTTCTACTCTTTTTCATCTTTAATTGTGGTTTGCATCGATCGATATTTATCACTTTAATTGTGGTGTTTTTTTTCTTTGGATAGGTTTGGGCTGCCATGCCACTTAATGTAATGGCTGTTAAAACATCAAAACCACTCTTTTGAAGCTTAGGTTCAAGTTTGGTGGTGTCTTTTATACAATGTACTTTTCAATTTGGTATATTTTGTAGTTATGTACGTGCTTAAGGTCACCATCCTACTTCATTTTTCATATATTGTGTTAGCAATTTAATTGTATCTTGAAATTTCTTCAGTATCAGCTCTGCAGAGTTTGTAGGCTATTAGTTTTACATAAATTCCTGCTCTATCATGGTTATGGATATGCTTTATCATCTGCGCCAATGGCGACCTAGATAATGTGATTCCAATTATACGTTCCTTATTTGAGTTCTGAACAAAACTCCTTTGTATCTAATATCTATCTCTCTCAGTGAGATTATTCTCCTATTTGTTTATACGCAACTAATCTGATAAAATTTTCTGACTATCTTCTGGAGAACAACCACCTATGATGTGATCTAACATCAACCTCTAACATGATCTTATACCAGTTCATGAATGGTGATTGTTCCATTTAAGTTGTGATTGAACAACTTTCTTTGTCAAGCTGTCAAGTACACTGTCAGATTCTTTAGGGGGAAAAAAGAAAAAAAACAAGATAACCTTTGATTTTTTGTTTTTTTGTTTTTTAAATCCTGAATTAGGCTGCAACTTCTGTAGTCTTCAAATGCAATGAGGGTGGTGTTGTTGGTGCTGGTTGCTCTCCTACGAAAATAGATTTTCGTGGAGTGGTTTTACTTAGAGGAAACACTTTTTAATGATTATGGCTTTCTCATATTAGTATTTCAGAAATTTTTGTCCTTAAATTAATTCTTTAAAAATTTAAAACATTATACCATTTAATCTTTTTAGGACTTGGTTTGTTGACAGAATTTTTCATAGAAGTAACGTGGTGACATGTTAATTTTTGAAAGAATAATCCACGCATTTATTTTTAATTTATTTTGACTGTTATTTAAATTAAGATTTTTTTTTTCTTTCTAAAAATAGTTTACTTTCAAATGAAGTTGATATGAAGGTTTATATATATATTTTCACTTAATAGTGCGTTTGCACACTATTAAAATATGAGTTTAATTTTGATACATTGTCCGTTTAAATTTTGTTTCACGTTATCATCTAATCTTATATTGATATTTTATTGAACAAATTTCATTATGTTGATACCCACGTAACATGTCAAACTCGTAGTTGGAAGAGAACTAGACCATTCAGCCGGGGTGGATTAAAAAACTTGCCACACAACCTCTAGATGAACTGGTTCATCTAGCCCTTTGGATCATCTTTCGCATTGACTCGATCCAACCCTGATGACTTTTTTGACTTGCACGACCTTCTTTGGGTATATTTATCCTATCTAAGAAGATTTCTTCTCAACTTTTTACAGCGGATTCCTCTTCAAGTTTATATAATGTCATCGGATTCCTCTCTCCACTTCACAACTTGAGTACTTCTGCTTTGCCAAGTAAATTTATGTTATCAGGAAAGGTTTTTTGCTTGTTGCTTGCCTATTTTTATCGATTGTAGAATATGAACCAATTACACATTAATTTGTGTATATTAAAAATATAAGGTACCTTTATAATGCTAGCGTAATTTTTCTTTTCATTACTTACATATATCAAAGTTGAGTTTTAAAATATTTAAGGCAATATATAATTGGATAACAAACACTATAGCAACAACAATTAAGCTTTCCCCCACCCCTGGGTGGGGTTTGCTACCTGTGTCTAATGAGATAATTATGTTACACAAAAAACTAAATCTTTAGAGAGGCAATTTAGGTATAAATCTATTTTTGGGTATATACTTCGTGATTTAAATTACACGTGGTAACTAACGATCCAATGAGATTCCAAATTTTGATCATTTTATTGGAGAAGTGAATCAATCTCCTTTTTATTTATGACAATCTTTGTCAACTAATGAATGGACAATTATCCATATGGTAACTCACTTGATAATAAGAGAGCTGAGTAAGTGGAAAAGAAAGAGTCTATGTTTGATCATCACATGTTATTTTTGGAAGGTGTTTTAAATATTTTCATCTCTGATTCATTTAGCATTCCGGATTAGTTTTATAACCAGCTGAAAGAGTTAAAACTTGTGAAAATATCAGAAAAGTCAACTTGCCTCAAAAAGATAATTAGAATTGAATTAACTAAAAAATATATAAGTATTATGAATGACATTTGGTTCTATAGAATGTCGTACAAAGATTCAATTACATTGCATAACTTATCAAGTGAATTGATAAACATATAAATATGAGCAAAAAGTATTGGAATTAACCTAATTTGTTTAGTATTGTTAATAATTAAAACAGCTTCAATACTATCATTATTACCAACAAATTGCCTTTAATGTTTATCTATTATGTCTTTTAACGAGTTTCCTTCTAAAGACAACTTGAATATTATAACCGTTGATATGTGAATGAAGAGAATTTATTCCCATTTCCCATCAACTAGCATTAGTAGTATCATATGTTTCATTTATTTATGTTTGATACTTCTTAGCTTTCTTATTATTGCCACATGTTATGCGTTTTCACTTGCTGTTTTTTCACAGGTGCTATTTTTTTATCCCAACTAAATTCTCTTTAGTATTTTTTACTTACAGCCCTCCTCTATTTCTAATTATAGTAAATACTATTTTTAGTCCCTAACAAAAAATACGGTCCCCAGTTTAGCCTTTTACAAAAATAAATTAGTCAGTTAGTCCCTAACAAATTCAAAGTGAACCCATTTAGTTGAAATCGTGGTCCCTCACAAATTCAAAAAAGACCCATATTAGTCCCTCAAAAAGATTAAAATGGATCCACTTTGAATTTGTTAGGGACTAACTGACTAATTTATTTTTGTAAGGGACTAAAGTGGGGACCGTGTTTTTTGTTAGGGATCAAAAAAGGTATTTACTCTTCTAATTATTCGGCTATCCTCCGTTTGATCAACTTTTCTAACTAAAGTTTGTTTGTATTGATTTTCTTCTCACATGTCTAAGCTATCTTTGGTGAAACTCTACCATCTTTTTTATCAGACGGTGCCATTTTTACTTTCTCTCTAACACATTTATTCTTGATTTTATCTTTTATTGTATGATCCTTTGTTCAACAAAATATTCTCATATATGCAACACTTATCTTATACATCTGTTGGCACTTAATCATCCAATATTCAGTATTATAATATCACTAGATTTATGGTTGTGTGGTGAAAATTTTATTTTAACTTAAGAAACACCCTTGTATTATGAACAATACTTGACATATTTCTTCTTTTCATCCAACTAAATGTGAATCTTATAATTTGTATCCACTTATATATGATTAGAGAATAGTATAACTTTACATCAAAATTAAATTCGTAATCTCTCAATGACAACTTGCACCTAAATTTAATTGAAGCATATGCTCCAACAATCATAACAACAAAGAAATAATTTGTCTTTGGAGATACGTCAACTTGCTTGAAGTCCTACTCCTACATCTAATGCTGAATAGCAACCACTAACTGTGGTTCAATTGAATTATATGAATCTACCATGCTCTAACTCGAGATTATATTATTATTTAACCTGAATTATAGAAGCAGCTAATGAAGCAAGCACGGAAGCCAATTTAATTAGAAGAAATATATTAGGTACTGTTTGGTTCGGGAGAAATTTTTTTTTACTAGGGAAATGTAATTGATAGGGAAATGGTTGGAAAATGAGTTTGGTAGGAAAATGTAAAAAAAGTTGTTTGGTTGACCCAAATATTACCAGAAAAATTTATTCAAATATGCAAAATCTATGTTCGGGAGAAACTTTGCACCTGTTTTTTCATTTCCCCAGTTATCTTAAAATATCACATCTCAAGTGGTATTCTGTAACAGTGAATTTCATCCAAAAATTAACACAAAAGTTATTTTCCCATCTATCCTATTTGCCTGATATTTTTTGAAAAAATCTGAACCAAACGTGATATTTTTTAATATCCACTTACACTTTTCCATTAATCTCAAAATAAACCTTCCACCAAAAACGGTAAAAGGTAATTGCCTCCCAAATTTCAGTTACAAAATTTGATGCATTGAACTGAAATAGACGTCAATGTTGACAATTTGCGCGCATGTAATGGCATACAGATCATACATACTTGCATTACAGTTGGTATGTACTACGAAGAAGTGACAATAATATTATACTAATAATATATTCACTTCTCGCTATATTCAAAGTACCACAATTGTTCTTTAATTTTAAAATAGCTAACTAGCAGACTTTACTTTCTAGAGAGCCAATAATTGAAATTTAAGATCCTTAAGTAAACTGTGTGAGTGGATATAATAAACGTCATGTATGGAAAATATATTTCGTATGGTTTAAGCAAAAATTACATTCATATTTCAAAATATATAAATACACACTTAATTATATATTAATTGCAGGGCCGAAAATTTATCGCTGACTATAATCAGACAAATCTTCTCAATCTCTAAACATAATTTAATCCTAAGGCTTTTGCTTCAATCGAAAAGTAACAATTTCTTATTAGGTTTTTTTAACTTAGCTTGTAACTTGAATTTTGATAAAATAAACTAAGACTATATTATTTATAAATGAATTTTCCTTTAGTGAATTGAAATATGTTTTCGCCAAAAGGCCACTTTGTTTTATTATGATTTGAATTTTAAACTTTTTTTTTAATTCTCATTCACTCTAAATGTATATATATTTTTTTTGGAATAAAACTCTAAATATTTTTATAATCGACATTTCTTGTCTTGATGAACTAATAAGTTGTTCTCATAATTTTGTCATTCATATTGACATATGCTTCAAAATAAAAGTCTGGCGATCAAACAAAATCCCATGGTAGATTTGGTGAGTATGGCTTTAATTATGTTCACAGAGGCCTTATATTGCTTTAGGCATCAACTTTCTCTATAATTCATTTTTTTTAATAATTTAAATTTGGGTTTATAAACAATTGTTGTTATTTAAGATTTTCTAACTTATTTATATTCTCTTATAATTAAATATTTATAACGAGTGCATGGTAAGAAAAATATAATGAAATAAGTGTTAAAATATTACCTTATATTGAAGGGAATCAAAATAAATTGTATCGCTTGTTTAAAAAAAATGTATCGCTTTTTCTTCTTCTTTATTTTGAGTATGTGTGTAATTTGCTCATATTTTTCAAATTGAATAATTTATCCGCATAGCTTTTGTAGAACAAAGCTTCACCGATAAGTGTAAAATTCTCTATATTTTTTATTAGCATAAAAAATATATTTTGACATAGATAAAGACAAAACAAAACCAAAGAGCAATAAAACGATTTCGAGACGCCAAAAACGCATAATATTCCGGTAGACAGGGAATAAAATAAGAAAAGGTACATCAATGCAAGAGATATAAGTATATAACCTATGCACTAGTGAAGGTACAATTTTTTTATTTTTTATTTTATAAAAAGCGTTCAATTTGTTTTTGGGTTAACATCAACACTTCATTTTGCTTACTTAGATGGTGTCTGGAAGATGTATTAGAGCATGAAGAAGTATAATATATGTTTTCTTAATGTTTAATGTATTTTAAAAATAAGATAAACCATGACATATTACTAAAAATTGATATATTTTGATTTCAGTAAAACAAAATATATTATCATTTTAATCATTATTGAATTAATTTTGATATATTTTTATAAGTAGGATATTCATATTATTACTTTTTTTACTACCAATCTATTATCACTCTAATTATTATTGGATTAATTATTTCCTTTCTTCAGATCACTTTTTACTGATAAAGTTTGATCTATTGGTAATTAGAATAATAATAAATTGGTAATAGACAAAAGTAATAGTATGAATAATTTATCTCATATTTTTAAAGAAAATAATTTTGATACGTGGCACAAAATTAATCGTTGGTTTTGTTTATTAACAACTTTTCCCATTAATGTATGAAAGGATTTGAATAACAAAAAAGAAAAGAAGAGAGTAGGTGCGTTTTGATATAATAGTGATGTTTGGAAAATAAATTATATGTTGCTTGGTTTGGTGGTTTTTACGGGACGAGACAACCCACCAGTTGTTGCAGCTGTTTGTTTGAAGAGAGAGAGAGAGAGAGAGAGAGAGAGAGAGAGTTTTAACTTTTATTAGTGGTTACTTACTTACTTCACTTGGTTAGAGCCAGAGAGAGAGAAAAGAGAGAGAGAGAGAAATGAAATGAAGTCTCAAGTGTGAAGTGAGAGAGATGGAAACTGCTATGAATATGGGATCTAAGACTCAGGCTCAGCTTCATCACCATTCTCTTTGATTCTCTTCTTCTTCTTCAATCTTCAATCTTCAATCTTCAATCTTCAGGTACACCCCACATCTTCCTTCACCTTTCATTATTGCCTATCTTCATAAAGTTTCCTCATTTTCTGTAGATCTTCTCCCATTGCATTCATACTCTTCAAATTGGGTTACCCACTTGGAATTTTTTTCTTTATTTCAGCTCTTAATTTTTGAATTTCAGATTCAGGCTCTGTCATCCTTGTTTTGCGCGTTGCAATAACACTTTGGTTTTCTTTTCTAACGTCAATCCAAAATATGGATAGATCTCCCAACATGTTTACATTGGGAGGGAGATCCATCACTCCCGTATTTCTCTCTCCTTTAGATCCACCAACTGTATCTTCAATTTTCCTTAGGATGGTTAAGTATCTTTTCCTTTTCCCCTTTTCTTCATTCGCACTTCACGTCTTCACCATAATTTTAAGTGCTCATTCAAACTCCATAAATATAAACACTGGATATATACTAGTTTTGTATTTAAGTTTCGATCAAATTCCACTAACATTATTACTGGATTTTGTTTTAACTCCCATTAACGATGAATAGAGGAACCAGATGTACCCACTATCCAGTAGCACAGGGAAATGCAAGCATTGCTTCATGACTCTCAATGTAAACTTGCTTCCAATGGATCAAGCAAATAGCTGTAAACTCCTTGTTGCTCATATTTCCTTGACTTAATTTATGTTACCATTTTCCCTCGCAGTCATATCATAGCATTTGTTGTCTTCTTGGTTCACTCACATTACCTTACCCACATGCTCAATTCAATCAGTCACGTATTCATATATTTTCAATATTCAAAATTTTATTCTTTGAAGTTCTTTTGGCTGACTCTATGGAATCAAAATTAAGTGACTCTTTTATTCTGGCATGTTCATGTTGTACCAGAAAACCCAGATTTTTTTGCCTTTATTTGTAGTTCTAATCTGGTTTCTTGAACTGAATGTTATTATTCTCAATTGTTGCCTAAGGAAAAATATGACTTTATTTCATAAGGTTTTCTACTTTGGATGCTTTCCTTCGAGATGAATATAGATATCTGCCTGTTATCACAAGTTATGGCTAAAATCCTGTTTCGATCGTGTTTTCCATTCCGCTGTTTTGCAGTATTACGTTTAATTCTACTTCAGCAATCTGGTACTGTTTCTTATATAGTTGCCTCTTTTGGGCTGCTTTGAAAAAGCCTGATGGGTTCAAGATTCCCATCTCATCAGCTCAGCAATGGCCTGTATGTGTCAGGCCGGCCTGAACAGCCAAAAGAAAGGACTCCGACAATGAGCTCAGTTGCCATGCCCTACACTGGTGGTGACATCAAGAAGTCAGGAGAATTAGGGAAAATGTTTGATATTCCCATGGATGGCTCTAAATCTAGAAAATCAGGTCCATTGAATAGTGCTCCTTCAAGGACTGGATCATTTGCAGGTGCTTCTTCACACTCTGGACCTATCATGCAAAATGCAGCAGCTCGTTCAGTTTATGTTACAGGAGGTAATGTATCTGCTGGAGGCATGTCTGCTTCAGCCTCAATGAAAAAGACCAACTCTGGTCCATTGAATAAACATGGGGAACCCGTCAAGAAGTCATCTGGCCCTCAATCCGGTGGAGTTACACGGCAAAACTCTGGTTCAATTCCTCCAGTTCTTCCTACTACTGGTCTTATTACTTCTGGCCCTCTAAATTCATCAGGGGCTCCAAGGAAGGTGTCTGGTCCATTAGAGTCTACAGGATCAATGAAATCACATAGTTCCTCTGTAGCTCACAATCCAGCTGTGACCACTCTTAGCCTAGATGATGAATATTCCTTCAGGAGGAACTTCCCGAAGCCAATATTGTGGTCTGTGATTCTGATTTTTATCATGGGATTCATTGCTGGCGGTTTTATTCTTGGAGCTGTTCACAATGCCATTCTCCTCATTGTTGTAGTAGTTATATTTAGTGCGGTTGCTGCATTATTCACTTGGAATAGTTGTTGTGGAAGAAAAGCCATTGCTGGTTTCATTTCGCATTATCCAGATGCAGAGCTTAGAACTGCCAAGAATGGGCAATTTGTGAAGGTTTCTGGGGTATGCAACTTAATATTGACATATGCATTTATAATACAATTAATTAAGCATATAAACATGGTAAAAGCTCAGTCCCACATACACACTCATCAGCACTAAACTACCCATGTTTGATTATTCATTTATTCATTCATCCATTGCTTGGTGGATAAGTGGTTTTTATGCTACAGATATCAATGACTTGAATGGTTGGCTGGTGCTCTTGTCTAAAATTCCATCATTCTGCCTCTTGTTTATGTTGTTATATAAATATATATGTATATATGATTGAATTGAAATAGACCAATGATTTATTCTACCTTTTGAAGGTGGTTACCTGCGGTAATGTTCCACTAGAGTCCTCCTTTCAAAAAGTTCCTAGATGTGTATATACATCCACAAGCTTGTATGAATATCGAGGATGGGATTCAAAAGCAGCCAACCCAAAACATCGCCGCTTTACATGGGGACTTAGATCGGCTGAGGTAATTGCAATAATCTGTTCAATCTTTTTTGTTTTTTGTTTTGTTTGTTAGTTTGTTTTGTTATATTTTTTTTGTATAGTTTGCCAAAGTTTCCAAATTTGATAAAATATTCAGGACTTCTTGATATGCATTGGCCATGGAGGTGAATCAGATATTGTGCTTTCTGATTGAATGTGCTTTTCTTTATGAATTGTTGAGTAAGATACAAAAGAGAGGCATGCACTAAATCGTGTGTAGAAGAGTTAATAATAAATATATACTAATTTAATGATAAATATATTGATCTCAATTTCCCCAATTTCATGATGTGAACTTACTAACTTATTTAATGAATCTCGACCCAAGTTATTATATAAACAATGAACCTCAACCCTAAACTGAGTTATAAGGTTAATTACATATCCCACACTCTCCTTCATGTTGGGGCATGTAGATCATATGTACCAAGTTGGAGTGGAACAAAGGTGGAGATTTGGGTTGCTTAAGCCTTGAGATGATGGTGTTTGACTTGGTCTCAAGCTCCAAGAGCTTTCATGGAAGAAGAGTTGGAGTGGTAGTAGTGGGGAAGCAAAGGAAGGATGAGATGGTATTAATGTGTAAAAATAATTCGTTATATTTTTAATAGGGGAACAGTACCACAAGAACTTAAAAAACTTTACCTCAGTTTTGCCCCAAATTTTTTTGCATAGTAATAAAGCTGTTAATATGGAATGCAAACACATTACTGCTCCATCATAGTCATCAAACATTGGTGAATCCAGTAGGGTACACAACTCTTCCATTGAACTCGAACTGAAAGGAAGCCCTGGAATGATTTCTATAATTTGCTTAATTCGGAGCTTCTTGCACCATCTATAAGCTATTTAAAGGAAAAAGCTTTGTCAAGATTATTGTTTCTCTCTAGTTTCCATCTAGACTTCTTTTGAAACCAGAAAAATATAAATATAAATTGTAATTTTAAAATAACTTTTTCTCTTAAGTTCTCTTCTAACACAGAATGCACTTCTTTCTTGCTTTTAATTGAGCATTTTGCTGGGGGTTTTTATGGTGGCTTTTATGTACTCTTTGACTATAAAGAATAATCCTGTATCTTCCTGACTGATGTGATACTAGTATTGTGTGTGTGTGTGTCCCCCCCCCCCCCCCCGAATGGAAGTCTTGGATTCAAATCTATCCATTTAAGTTTCTTGTTATCAGCTCTTTTGAACTGTTTCCATATATGGGGGGAGCGAAGAATTTCATGTTGGGGGCCAAATACTAATTTTATTCTTTTGTGGGGGGACCAAAAGAATATTGGCTACACATGTCTGTATCAGGATGCAAGTTGTGTATTTTGGGGATTTGGCTGGGTAATATATGAAACCTTGTTTTTTAATATTTACCTTGTATTTTTATTCAATGCAGAGGCATGTGGTGGACTTTTACATCTCTGATTTCCAATCTGGATTGAGAGCATTGGTTAAAACAGGCTACGGTGCAAGAGTGACTTCTTATGTTGATGATTCCATTATAATTGATGTCAATCCAGCCAATAAAGATATGTCCCCTGATTTTCTTCGATGGTTGGGAGAGAGAAACCTTTCTAGCGATGATCGTATAATGCAATTAAAAGAAGGGTAAAGTACTTTATCTCGTTGAAGAGTTGAGAATTCCAGATAATATTGGTGTAAATGGAAACTGTTAAGGTTTAATCATTTTCCATTTGTTATTGGGTAGCTGGTCATTGTTTCTAGCAATAACATTTCTTTTGCGCTAATCTTGTTGCTAGCAATAACATTAATTAGGTTCCACGTGCAAAACTTTTAGTCAATGTTGAGCCAGTTTGGCTTAGTACATAATTCATGTTATGCATAATGGTAGTAATGATGATCAAGAAAATAAAGTTGGGATAACCTAGGATGGGAAGGATGTTCTTATGAAACTGCAATGATCTTTTTGTAGGTACATCAAAGAAGGTAGCACGGTTAGCATAATGGGAGTTGTTCAAAGAAATGACAACGTGCTTATGATTGTCCCTCCACCAGAGCCTTTGACTACTGGATGCCAATGGACCAAATGTATATTTCCAGCTAGCCTTGAGGGTATTGTTTTGAGATGTGAAGATACGTCAAAGATTGATGTCATTCCGGTCTAGTTATCCTCCTTGGTAACCTCTTAGTTATTTTCTCTTAAGAAACATGTCTTCCCATATCAAAAATTGAGGTTGTTGGTGGTTGTTTGTATTTTGTAAGCATACGTGTTGTTGGTAAGTTTGATGATTCTGCCATTGACACCGGCGATTTAATTTTTTTTTTTTTTTCTCTTGTTCCACACTCAAATCCTAGTTTGTTGTATAGCTAATGGAAAATCTTATTCGTTTATTTTTCCTAAGGATTTTAGACTTCATAATGTATGTGGTTTCATATAGTGAGAAGTTGTGTATTCAGAGGGACTTGTTTTAAACTGAAGGGAATCTATCGTGCACGATTTGTAATTTAAGCTTGTTGCTGAACTGCTGATATAAGATTGAGTATAACCTAACGGCTTTATTTGCTAGGATCATGTGTACCGATTCTTTTTCTATCTTGCTATACATTTGCATTTGCCTATTAGTGGAGCTTGACAGTGTACTATTTAATATTATATTGTTCCTTCTATTGCCCTCCATTCGAAAGTGAATATTAAGACCAAGACGGAATTCAATGGTGTGCGTGGTTTGCTATCTCTCAATTTGTTGTTGCTTTTAAATTAGTTTATCAGGTCATAGAGAAGAACTTACATTGTACTTTTGGGTTGTATCTTTCACACAATATTGGTGAACTTTCTTTATTCAATTGGTCTGTTTTATCTTTTAAAATGTTTTGTTTTGTTTTGAATTTTACATGAAATCGCTCGTAGTTAGTTTGTAGTGATAGACACCGAAGTCAAGTACAAAGTAACCACATTGCTATTTTAGAACTTACAAATTTAATTGTTTTAAGATGTGGATGGATATGGAAGGGATAAAAGTCTCCTTAGAAAACATACTGTATAAATTATATACTACATATAACATACCTGTATGAAAATGATTTATGTTTGATGTGAGGACAAAAATATCATATAGAGAGTTTTATTTTATTATTCATTTGACCTGGCATCAAATAATGAGACATATCCTGCTTCTAGTTCATCAAATAAGCGGCATTCAAACCGATATAATGGTGCTTATCCGAAAATGTAGATAAATGGACCTCGTTGTGCATAAACTATAAAGCATATATGTAGTAGAATAAAGTAGAGAAATGTGCAAGCGAAACGTGTATTGTATACAAAGCCTCAAAAAGCAGTAAAGGCACGTGTTCAGTACTCATACCTTGTCACGTGATGCAAATCACTATCGTGTCCAATACTTAAGCTTGATGGTTGGTGATGCTATAGTTCAAACGGGATATCCTTATGCACTCCATGCTATGCTATGGATAAAGTTCGAGGTGGTTTCTTTCTCCGCGTGTGCGTGTTGGTGTTGGTGTTAGTGTTGGTGTGCTTCTCTATGATGACCCATGGAGAAGATGAAGAGCACAGGAAGAAAACATCTTTGTGGGAGTGGGAGAAACTGAGACGCGCCTATTCTATGTACGAAGCAGTTTTTCCTACGAGTATTGGCAAGTATTGGTACTTGGTTAAGTCGCTTGTTAATAAGGCATATGAGCATTTCTTTCCTCCAAATATAGAGTAAGCTAGCTAGCTCCAATTTCAAACTTGGAGCTTCTCCATCTCAGTATATATATATAAACGCTTCCCTTTTTGTTTTCAATGCATTATATCATAATTTCTGTTTCTTTGTTGATTATATATACATACATACATAACTCTTGCTTCATTCCTCTTGAATAATTGATTAATTCATAATTTGAAGTTTTAGAAGAGGAGATGAAGGCGAAGGCGTGACAGATAATGGAGCAGTAGGGGAGAAGGTGAGAGAAGCTTTAGGGAAAAGCCTAGGAATGAGCAAAGCTACGATGGAGGATGCTGCAAAATCAGTAGCAAATATAGCAGAGGAAACCATGCACAAAGCAAAAGAGAAGGTGAAGAGGAGCTTTTCCGATGATAGCGACACAAAACGTCAAAACGAGCTCTGACTCTCTTCTCCCTCCTTGTGAACATCTTTAAGCAACCGCCACATAAAAGTACTGCTTCATTTTGTTTAATGTTGCTATGCATGTGATGTGAAAAGGGTTAAACAAAAGAGAGAAAGAGAAAAGCGCTGCATCCATTTTAAAAAGTTGAAGCTGCATATCCGTGAATCTTAAAGTGTTTCTGTATGTATTCCTTTTCCTAAAAGGAGAAATAAATGTGATTCATGAGACAGACATCAGTTATAAATTCAATTAAGTATATAGCTATTTTTCTCATATGAAGGTGGTTCTGGTTCCAGGTCCAGGAATTGGGAGGAGCAACACCAATTGGACAATTATAATTTAAAATTTTGTAAAAGTACATAAAAAGAACATGTAAACTAAATATAACATTTTAACGAAGGAGGATAGTTGACTAGTTAATGTTCCTATCAGAATATTCAGCTTAGTATTGTGTATGGTTAGAATGATGCAGGTTGTGTTCAGGTTCATATCCTTCTTTCGAGCTAGATCAATAGTTAATTCGTTCATAAGCTTATATCAGCCATTAGGTACCATATTTAACCTTCATCCCTTCATAAGTTTGGGTTGCCGACACATATTGCTCTTTTAAAGTTAATCCTCTCATGCCAAGCTTTGTATCTAAAGTTAAACTACGCTCGTCATAGATCTATTTTAACGAATATTATCCCAAACTCACATGATAACGCCACAAGGGATGTTTCGGACGCCGTGTAATCTTTGCTAAATGCACAGTCACCTAGAATAAGTTGGAATAACTATATCTCAACTATTACTTCATATTAGCATTTTCACCATGACCTTGCATATACAAATTGAAAACGACTGTCCAACTCAATCCTCTTCACTTTGACCTCTGCAACGAAGAATTTCAAAAGAGCTCCTCTGTTTGTTCATCCTCTCTAACACACTTATATAATAAAATTTCTATAATAGAAAGAAAAATGTTATATTTATAAATTTTTTATTTATAAATTATATTATATACTACAAAAATATATTTCTAGTCAAGTCTATACTCGTTGAGTTTGTAAATAAAAAGTTTGTAAATATAATTTATCCCTAACACAGAATTATCCTTCGTATCTCTTAAAAGTTGTAGTATGTCGATATGGAGGTACTAAAAAAAGTAGGGTTATGAGGAGTCACCGCTTATTAGTGCCAGAGTTGGGCCTTGACTTGAGCTAAAATTAAAAAATTAGCTATGTTTTAAAATAAAATTTAATATTAGGTTCCTCTTAAATTTTTGTTGGCCTTAACTAAATGAATGGATTGGCTCCACCATTTCTACTTGTGCTATCACAGAGAGTGCTGTGAAGAGGAGAGTGGTATACAGGCTACAATAACTTTAAAATTTAGAGAGTAACATCTTATAAAGTGTTAGGAGGAGTTTATAAAATGTTAGAGAGGAGGAGTCTATATACAAAATTGAATATTCACTAACGATGAAAGAGAGAGAAAAAAGAGGAAGCCTATTAGTCTTTGCCTTCACTGTTGCAATGAAGCATTGCTTCACAATTATAGATGTACGATGTTGAAATATGCAAGAAGAGGGGAGTCCCCTAAGGTGAGACTCCGTTGCTCACCGTGAAATATCATCTAGAAGGACGCCTTTTGTCACTTGACCTAGCTTAGTGGGCATGTAAAGGCCGACTGGAACAAGTTGAAAATCTTATACTTTTTGTTTATGGGAAAAAAGTTTCTGATGTTATTTTAGAGTTGTTTTGAGATTGAAAAATTAAAAAATTAGAATAACAAAGACTATTATAACCCTGAAATAAATTAAAATTACAAAAATACCATGATTTTCGTCTCAAAACCACGTCGTTTTGATGAACATTAGATGAAGTTATCTAAAGTAACTTTAGAAAAAACAAACCCTTGTTTATACATTCGAAAGTATTATTGTAGTTATCATCTTATTTTATCTTTTTTTTTTTAATCTAATTTTTCCTTTTATTTGTCATTCAATTTATTTTGAATCACATTAAGTGCATAAACTTATATTGATATAAGAATTATAATAATAATTTTTTTTAAAAAATAAAATTTATATCTAATTTTAACTGTTAATCTCGTTTATATATAATAATTTACATCATTAATAAAATAGAATCATTAAATATATACAAAATTAACCCCAGATAATGTGTGTAAAATTATTATAGTGAAATCTGATCTTTCCCATAATACTAAACAATTTTAAAACCTATAAACATATGTATTTTTCTTTGGATTGTGTAAAAGTGTGCCTTGTTGTGCCATTTTTGTGTTTTAAATAGATATTAGTGTGATGTATATAATTAAACTTATTTTTAAAATTTTTAGAATAATATTTTAAAAAGGTATTTTTCTATAAAAAAAATTAGCACATACATTAATTCATTCAAATTCAAAAGGAAAAAATTTTCATAGGATAAAATAATTTGTGTTGCCTTTTATAAATAAAAGAAGGGAAAATCATTTTTCCTTTCAAAGGATATAATTTTGTGTTATATTAGATTCTAACCGTTAATTTTCATCTATCAACGACAACGGTTAAGATTTATTGGATCAAATTTATTAATTAAATAGTACACCGATAGTTATTATTCTATTATTTTTTATAAATAAAAAAAAATAAAATATACAATGATGAATGAGAATGTCATTAAACAAGAGCAGTGCATATTATGAAGGGAAAAGTTCATTAATGTCCACGTGGTTTACTCCGAAATTATTTATACCCATATGATTTATTTTTTATCACATATGGCTCTGTGGTTTGCAAATGGATATGTTTTTTATCACATATGCCTCTGTGATTTTTTACTTTTTACAAATCACAAAAATATATGTGATACAAAAAAAAATCATAGGGAAATAAGTGATTCTAGAGTAAAACCTGACTATTCCTCAACTTTTCCCTAATATGAATTAAATGAGTGATAAATGAAAGAGTTATGCATATATATATATGCAAATGATATATGAGTCGTCCTCGAGAGTCAATTCGTTGTGAGAGAAAGAACGCAGACACAGAGAGAAAGAGAGAGAGAGAGAGTCGATTGAGGAAGGAAGCAGTTAACATGGGACAGTCGAACACTGAGACCGTACACTCACCACTGGTCACTTATGTTTCCATGATTTCTCTACTCACTCTCTGTCCTCCTTTTGTCATTCTCCTGTATGTTATTGTTATCTTCCTTTCCTTCCTCAAATCAAATCAAATCTCACTATATATATATATATATATATATATATGTCTATCCTCAACTTACATCTTATTATTATTTCAAAAACCTAAATCACAAGTTCCAGTTTCAGATCTATCTCACCTATTTTATTATTCGATCTGAATCAGCTTCAAACAAACAAAATTACCATGGTTTAATGCAGATGGTATACAATGACAGTTGCTGATGGATCAATTTTAAAGACATGGGATTACTTGATGAAGCAGAATGGCTTCATACAACATGTATCTGTATGGCCTAAACCCACTGTTACAGCTTGGATTATCATCGCCGTCTATGCTGCATTTGAAGCAGCTCTTCAGCTTCTTCTCCCTGGTCAAAGGGTCGAGGGTCCTATTTCTCCTACTGGCAACCGACCTGTTTACAAGGTTTTTTTTTTTTTTTTTTTTTTTTATAATTAATTAATTGTCTTATCATATCACCTCTCTCCTCAACTGCAACTGCAACTGCAACTGCAACTGCGACACCTCTTTATTTATGGCTCTAATTCGCTTTTTTGCTTTCTACAGGCTAATGGTGTCGCTGCATATTTAGTCACGCTGATTACTTATCTTGCCCTTTGGTGGTGAGGAGAGGCTTTCTTCACCATCTTCCTCTGTTTCAACTTGTTAACCGTGTTTTAAGCCCACATCTTTTGTTTTGCCGCTTTTACTATTTCAGTGACAGATGATGACATGTACTTTTTGTATGCATTTTTCAGGTTTGGGATATTCAACCCTATAATTGTTTATGATCATTTGGGAGAGATATATTCAGCACTCATCTTTGGGAGCTTTGTCTTTTGTATTTTCTTATACATAAAAGTGAGACGGTTAAATAGTAGAAATTACAAGTTATTTCGTTTTCTATGCAATTTATATTGAAATTTCTGACTCAAGTTTACATTTGCTAGGGTCATTTGGCACCATCTTCTACTGATTCTGGCTCATCTGGGAACATCATCATTGATTTTTACTGGGTAAACTAATCTCTGCTTTTTACTTTGACTAAACAGTTTCACATAGATTAACTTCTTAGATATCTGCTTATTTGCATTGAAAATTGAAAAGGATTGCAGAAAGAGAAAATTGAATAAGGAAAAAAATAAAAATAAAAAAGTGATTAGTAGCATTATAAATCTCCCAAATCTGATTCTATTGACACTTGTTGGTATCATGCCTTTAGAGGACAACTGATGCAATGAACCGATCTTTAAAATTACTGGCTCTTCAATTCTAAACCTAGAAGGCATTAGAGAATGCATATCAGAGTCTTTTAGAAATTTGTTATCCTTTTTTCTTCCACTGAAGTTGCATTCATGATGCCAAATTGTGAACTTTGAAATTTCTGTTGTAGAAATGTCTCTGTTTTCTGATTGTAATTTCCACTTTCACCACATAAGAAGAAATTACTTGAGAAATTGAACTTTGTATCTCATGTGAATAACAGCCCAAGACATGTGTAGTTTAATTTAACCTTTTTCGTAAGTAATGGTATTCTAATGTCTCGTCATTCCTGCAGGGTATGGAGCTCTATCCGCGCATTGGAAAATATTTTGATATAAAAGTTTTCACAAACTGCAGATTTGGAATGATGTCGTGGGCTGTTCTTGCACTGACCTATTGCATAAAGCAGGTTGAGTCTCAAAAGGTTTTATTTTTTGCATGAATCAAATCCAAGTAATACCAAATTGTGCCTGCTTATATCAGCTGCGACTGCAAGTTTGATGATTATACCGTTCAACATTAGTTGGGTTGCACAGTATTAACACATTCCTTTGGAATACCTATTTGTAGTTGTTGATACTTCCTTGTAGAAACTACTTGAGCCTGGGGGCCTCAGTGGTTAGCTTACTAAACAAGGTCTACAGAAGCTTAGGGCCATATACTTTTGGGTTGTGTTGTCTTGCTTGAGATTTAATTTATGACATGGATAAATCATATTTATCTTTATGTGGTTGGACTTCCTTTGTTGCTTTGGACTTAATGGCTTGGTGTAACTGACTTGTTACCGCCATGAGTAGGATGTGATGGGTCCAGTACTAGATGAATCAGGAATATAATTTTGTTTCATAATTTTATCTTGCGATGCTTCCTCCCGTCTTTAATTCTCTAATTTTTGTATTCTTGTCTTAATAGTATGAAGAAACTGGGAAAGTAGCTGACTCAATGCTTGTAAATACTACATTAATGCTGATATATGTTACCAAGTTTTTCTGGTGGGAAGCTGGATATTGGAACACAATGGATATTGCACATGATCGAGGTTTACTTATGCTCTATTATTGTTTCTGCTGGATATACTCGCTCATTCCCTTTGTTCTACTATTATGTTCTTTTGAAGCATGGTTATTAGAAAGAACAGTATTTTCGTGGTATTGTAACTGCAACATTTTTGAAGGCTTTTTTGTATAAGAAAATAATGATTTCATTAGTTTTCATAGGTTATTAAGATTATATATTCCATGACATATTATTACTAAATTCATTGTATTATAACTTCTTTATTGTCTCTCACTAAATCTTATAACACCAAAATCTGGCAGCTGGATTTTATATTTGCTGGGGCTGCTTGGTGTGGGTTCCATCTGTGTATACATCTCCTGGAATGTACCTTGTCAACCATCCTGTAAATCTTGGCACCCAGGTACCATCTCCAACTTTTTTGCGTTGCAGATCTGTTGTAGTTATACAGTGGTAGAACAAAAAAGAATATAGGGCTTAGTTGTTCAAGTAATGTTTCCAGCAGAGTTTTGCTTATTTTTTATTTATATTTTTTCTTATCTTTTCCCAACTTTTCTGAAAATTTCCCTCCTCTTCCAGCTAGCGCTCTTTATTTTAGTGGCTGGCATTCTTTGCATATATATCAACTATGATTGTGACAGGCAAAGACAAGAATTTCGTAGGACAAATGGAAAATGCTCAGTCTGGGGAAAAGCTCCATCAAAGGTGCAGATATACTATATAATTTTCATTCGAGTGCATTTTCTATATAATGTTTGTCTGATTAGAATACTTACATAAATTTTTGCCAGTGGACTTACATAAGCTAGACATAATGAAAATACATTTGCAGATAGAGGCCTCCTATACCACTACTTCTGGGGAAACAAAAAGAAGCATTCTTTTAACCTCTGGATGGTAAGTTTTCACTTAAAATTCTATAAACACAAAATTGTGGTAATGATTACGTGAGACTGAAAGAGTTGTGATTACTGGAGAATTGAGGAGTTTATGCACACCATTTGTTGGGGGTTGGTTCCAGACATTTGATTTAAAATATATTGTAACTCCATAAAAAGTTGTTAGTAGTTTACATCCAGATATGAATGTTATTGTAAACCATCGGTGGCTTTTAATCTCATAGTAGGTCATGGCTTTTGACATTTGACGTGACGTTATTTTCTTAGATACACGCCTTCTTTCTTAAAACATAACCACTTCACTTTTTCTGTGGTACCTGCAGGTGGGGATTATCTCGTCATTTTCATTATGTCCCTGAAATACTGGCTGCTTTCTTCTGGACAGTACCAGCTCTTTTCAATCATGTAAGGGTGTCTGTTTCTCTGTACTAGTTGGAAATTGGAGATATCTTAAGCTTAGCTTCTCTCTCTTCCCATGCAGTTTTTACCTTACTTCTACGTGATATTTCTTACCATTCTTCTCTTCGATCGAGCAAAAAGGGATGATGATAGATGCAGATCCAAGTAAGCTTTCAGTTCTATCTGTTAGTTTTACCTAGTGCATTTTCTTTTCAGTGCATATTGATTACCACAGACGCCCTCTAAATATTCGTCTATGTATACAAACGGGTTGCTTTATGAGTTATGACTTGTTAGTCTGAAACATACACTTCATTTTTCTTATCAATATGAAATCAACAACATACCCTCAGGCCTCAGCCAACTAGAATTGGGCTGTTTCCAAAGCATACAAATCAGAAGTATAAAGCAATAGAATTGAGAACATCTCAATTTCACATGGCGGCAGTGTTACTAAAAGACACAAATCAAAAGATCGTTTCTATTCATGAATCGAGTGGAACTTTTCATTACCAAAGGTTCAGGATGTGCTGGGTCAGCACCATGTATATGAAATTGAAAATTTTCTTTGCATACAGGTATGGCAAGTACTGGAAACTGTATTGCGACAAGGTACCTTACCGAATCATTCCAGGAATATACTGAAGAATGATTTTTGACGAAGGCTTGAGAACATCTCAATTTCAGAAGTATAAAGCAATAGAATTGAGAACATCTCAATTTCACATGGCAGTGTTACTAAAAGACACAAATCAAAAGATTGTTTCTATTCATGTTATCGACAATAATCAAGATATGTGGTAGACTTTCGCTGAGAATTAAATTATTGAACCAGTTTTCTTAAGCAAATGTTGTGACTTCGATTTCAGCTGTAGCTGTGTTTGTATTTGTATATAACGTCAATCGACTCTTTATTATTGCGTACAATTTTAAGTTTTATATCTGATCCTTGATGTAGATAAAAAATGTAGTTCACGATCAAGGTAAGATAACACTATTAAACATTAATGGAGTGTATTGGATTATGATTTTAAAAGATTTTTTTAAGATGAAATTCTACTTAACTATTAATATTCTATGTTATATATTAAAGCTGGTCACTATTATTATAATGAGGACCTTTTAAATGTTTTGATCTTTCTCGCGTAATTTTTTAGCTTGTTATTTATTAATTTTTAAAATTGCCCATTAATAAATATATAAATTTATTGTGCCTAAACTTATGCATAATATCTGTCAGATGTATTTAAACAAATATTTATATGTGAATTCTGATTATAATTTTTATGCACAAACATTAAAATAAATCATAATTCCAATTTAAGTTAAACGATGGTGATATAAAATTACTATACAACAATAATTTAACTAGTTCGGAATGTCAATATAAATTTTGTAAAGTTTATATTTACATTTATTAATATTTTGACATTTTATTATTTATTACAATCTCATTTTTTTATCAGATATAATAAAAATACTGAATAATTATGTATTGAAATATTAGTAAAAAAATGACACTGATAATATATACTATTGAGATATTAGTAAAAAAAAATGATCTTTTTCATCTGTGCAACGCAGCATGAGTAATGCACTAGTAAATTAAAAAATTATTTCAAGACATATATAACATAAAAAGGTCTATATTGATTACCAAAAAAAAAGAGGTCTATATTTAGGGAAAGTTTTGTTATTATTATTTTTTCTTATTACTTGTTACTATCAAATCTTAATCGTTACTTTTTGTCCATCTAACTATTATAATTTATTGGTTCATATTTATTAATTAATTATTCATTAAAATAAATTATAATTATTAAATTGACGGAAATCTATTATTAAGATTTGATTAACAAATAATAAGAAAAAAAAGATAGTAATATTACAAAAGTAGTCTACACCATGCAAAGCAAATATTAAGAAAAGAAAAAAAAAAAAAACCCTATAAGAAGATTCAAATAGAATTGAGCCCTAAGGATCGGAGTTTTGCCTTTCCATTCCGTTCAAGGTTTGGATTTTCGGTGCGATTGTGACTTGTATCGATTTTCTCATGCTTTGTGATTTAAGAATTTCAATACGAATATAGTTTTTCACTTGAAAATTATTTTGTTGGTTGCGTAGATCAAGTTCGTTAATCTGTAGATTCAAATAGTTTGCTGAGAAAATCTTCTTATGGGATCCGGTCTGTTTGATGTTTGTTTTTCTAAAACTCCATCATCAGATCGTAGTTCTTAACTCTTTTCGATCTTTAGATGCTTATTAACAAGTTAGGGTTTTTGTTAATATCCCCAAACATTCATATACACGACAGCATTGTAAGTAGTCATTTCGGAGTTCATCAGTTTTCTGGGAACGTAGTTGCGGTCTGTACATCATTCTCGATTTCTTTTTTTTTCTTTTTTTGGTCATCAATCATCATTGCTTTTAAATTTTAATAATGTCTTTTTGTTGTCTTCATTTTTTTTTCCCATTAATATCACTTTTGATTAGTATCATCCCTTGACAGATATGTCGGCGTATGAAAATGTTGTTGGTGGGAAATTGAAGCTCAAGGGAAAGGCACTGGATGTGAAGGCTGGTGGAGTGAAGAAGAAGAAAAAGAAGAACCAAAGAAATCAGGATCAATTTTCGCAAGTCGCAGAAGATGAAATTTCAGCAGGTTGGTATCTTTGTTTTAGGGCAACGAACTATCTCTTATATTCTTACGTTAACTGAGGTCTACTCTATTGTTAAATTACAATGTCTGCGTTTTAATAACTTATCTAAGTAAAACAGCTCATGGTGCTGGATCTTTTAGTATGTTAAAATCTTTGCCTTGATTCTTTTTATTTGGCACAATCATCCTGTAAAATGGTAAATGGTTCTATTTAATATCATGTCTAATATAGTTCTGCTGCATATATTGTAGTAATGGTTCATGAAATTGTCGTTAGGGTGTGAACTTATTGAATATATATGCTGCTCTATTTATTTGTTATGTGAGATGAGATGGTTTGCCTTTGACCAAGAAAAATCATAATGAGAAAATTTATGAATTTGGAAGCACGATGGTTTGCCTTTGACCAAGCTTAGGGATTTATGTGAAATTCTAATTTCCCCCTATTATGGAAGCGTTCTAATTGCATACTTAGCCTTATTAAATTTCATCTTTCTTAGGCCCCCCTTAGAATTAGTTCATTTTTCCCATGACTTGAAGAGGGATATATTTTGGTTAAAAATTATATAGGCCAATGTTTTATGGCCACATTCAACAAGAGAGATATTACGATTCAATGTCATATATCATAATATCTTTCTGCGTTTCTGTAGGCAGGGAACTGTTGTGCTTAATAGATGATTTCTTGGACTGCTCAGAGTTACAGTTCCTTTTGATTTATATTTCGTTAATCTTTCTATTCTCACTTAACCATAAATTATGCAGTACAATTTATATCGTTTATGTTACTAGATACAGGTGGAAGTACAGAACAAGCTAAAGATCCTAATGATCAAGATATAAATGATGCGAGCAAATTGAGCGGGGAAGGGAAACCTGCTCATTATGACGATCATCTTACACCAGCAGAGAAGCGATACATAGAACAGAGGGAGAAACTTGATGTTAATAGATTGGCTAAGATTTCTAATAAATCTCACCGTGATAGGATTCAGGATTTCAACCAATATCTAGCAAACATGAGCGAGCATTATGATATTCCTAAAGTTGGTCCTGGATGATTCAATGAGGGGTACAAGTATGAAGCCCAATCCCTATCATTTGTATTTGTTAGTTTAATATTGATGCCATGTGTATGCACAACAGTTGTTGCCACTACATATCTATTTTATTTTGTACTAAGTTATATTTCAGATGATATAATTTGGTTTCTTCTTGCGGATGGGGAAGTGATGTTATTCCCTTCAAAATTTACACAATTTTTTTTTTTTTTTTTTAAATCTGCAAGAACTAAAAAATACTTATTTTACATTATGACCGATATGGGGAGAAGAGGAAATATGTACATTGGTATGATAGTGAAAGCTTTTTTTTTTTCTTCAAGGTATAAATCTCTGATAGCGAAAGCTGATTACAAGTTAGTTTTACTTGATTTTTTACTTTTAAACACACTGAAAATATTTGAGTTAAAATGGAATGATACACAAACCCTTCAAAGTAGTTTGCATCTACTTAATTTTGTATATAACTCTTGCTGGCATTTCAGGTTAACTTGTCTCTATCTAACCTAAGAAAATAAAGGCTGGGTTGACTGTTATTATAAATGGGATGAAAATATCAATTCATCCTGGTTTTATGACCGACAGATTGACGGCTCACACAAACTAGTGAAGCCACAACTCAATGGAATCAACACAGATTAGCTTGGCACATTACGTACGCGAGCAAAACAAAAGCTCAAAGTATTTAACGTTGAGCCATGTCATTTCCAGATATAGTTGTTTGATGCAAAAACGGGAGGGAAGGGGGGCGGGGAAGAAGAAGAAAAAAAAAACTCATTTAAATATTACGGCTTTGGAAATTTTATTGTGTCTGCTAATAACTTGACATGTAAGATCTTTTAAATACTAATATTGCTACAAGGTCGAGTGCATCCATGAAATGCATGATTCAGATAGTCTAGGTCCCCACAAATTCCATCAGAATCCACAGGGCCGCAGGCACTTCATGTTGTAACATGAGTTTATTCGCCTAAATACATATTGAAAGAGCATGTTTCGTCTCTTATTCTCAATATAAAAACTGGGGATGAGTGAAAAACATGATTATAGCTACACGAACAACTTGATCAAAAGCCAAACCAACACCGAGAAAAGAAAGAAAGGTGATACGAATGAATCGAACAGCTAAATGTGAACTACCATGGAATACTCGATTGCCTCTTACAGTTGGAATAACACAATACTTGAGCAAACTTGCAATCTTCAATCATCGGGTTTCATCCTCAAGGTTGCGGAAACCATTAGTCAGGTCCTCATGTAACTTCTTAAATTTGTCAACCAAAGCAGCTTCACCTTCTGCCGGATCCTCAAATTTTTGAGACCTGCAATGACAACAAATCAACAGAATAAGACCTACTTTACATGTCAAAGTAAGTCATCTCTTGTAGCACTACAATTGCTCACACTAAACGATAGAAGAGATCTCCCAAACGATGCTTGATAAGGCTGTAAGTTATCTTCTGACCATCTGTACCAGCTCCCCTCTCTACTGCCTGCACATGTAGCCAGTCCCATGTTAAAGATCTACTATTTGAATGCAATTTAGCCATCTTCACTGAAATCTCTTTTCGGGCCAAAGTAAAAACACTTAGGCTGAGCTACCAAGAATGCAGAAAACTTAAAAGAAAAGATAAATTTCTGGTCTCAGAATATGAGTGAAGGATAGCGGAGGAGATGAAATGAACTGTTAAATCACATGCCTATATTAACATGGAATTTCCCATTTCAAATGTAATTAACATCAAACCACTGCTTGATTCCTTACACCACCATACCTGATTTGCCAAATTGTAGAAATGGATAATGTTGCGCATCATCCAAACAGACTTGTAGAAGGGACAGAATTTGTCATATCTATCACAGCCACACAAATAGTACCATCATAAGACGAGCAAAAATAAAAACACTAATAGAACACGTCTAAGAAGTAAACCAATTATAAGGACACTTACGGTGTAAAAGCATTCTGAGCCAGATAATCCTCTCTCAAAAGCTTTGCAGTTTCTAAAGTGATCTTATCTCCTTCGGCTAAAGCATCCTTGCCCACAAGCTGGAGTAAACAAGGTCAGTAAATGATTCAGTTTAGTTTACTACTTATAGAACAAATACATAGAGATCCTGACAAGTTTTGTCCAAACTACAAAACAATGTCATAATTTAACATAATGCGTTGAAGCTCCACATTTCACACTATTTACCGAGTTGACTATATTTGGCAACCCAAGGTCAGACTACATTACTTTAACAGTCTGTCATTGTGATTAGACTACATTACTTTAACAGTCTGTCATTGTGATTATTTTTTATACCTCTATCCACAGAAGAAGAAGCGGAACAATTCTCAATCCCATACAAGTAGAGAGCATGGGGACATTTCTTTAACCAACAATCAAGATAATAGAACCAATAAAGGAACATACCTGGACAATTTCATTCAGGTCATCTTCTCTTTGCAGAACTTCACGAGCCTTTGTCCTAATGTTTATAAAATCCGGATCAAATTGCTCATAAAAGGTTTCGAGTGCCTAAAAGTACCAAAGAAAATATTAAAAAAATTATTAAAAGTTATAGAACCAAAACTAGAACTCCATGCATACAAATTAAGAAAGCTGAAGGGAGAACATGAGTTACAAAGTAACCAACTTTAGGACATACCGTTGAGTACTTTGAATAAGAAATAAGCCAGTTCACAGAAGGAAAGTGCTTCCTCTGAGCAAGCTTTTTGTCCAAACCCCAGAAAACCTGCCAATTAGAAAAAAAATCAACTCACGCAATGAATGAATGTTATACAAGAATAGGTAAAAGAAATAACCAGAGAGATACTCAGTGATTAGTGACAATCCAAACAGGGTTTTAAGAATTTGTGAGCATCGGTCAAGACATTCTGTGCCGGCAGTTGCTCCATTTTGATAACCATATTCAAAAGTATAGTTTTACCTGAACAATGCTGAGAGTTGCAGATGTCACGGGATCTGAGAAATCTCCTCCAGGTGGAGAAACAGCACCAACGATTGTGACACTACCTGTACGTTCCGGACCTCCAAGACATTTTACTTTCCCAGCACGTTCATAGAAAGATGCTAAACGTGCAGCAAGGTAAGCAGGATATCCACTATCTGCAGGCATTTCTGCCTGTGGAAGACAACAGTACAATCAAAATACATTAATCAATGTCCATGTTTTCCCATGTGTCTCATGCCTAATAATATATAAATTGTCCCTTTTAAACTAGTCAACAAAGAAAACCCAACATCATAAAGTAAAGCTACAAAGTCTTAAGCACAAAAGGAAAAAAAGAAATAAAACTCTTTCCAAAAGAAACTGGTGAACAACAGTCATTGCATAAATAAAATTTCTCACCAGCCGTCCAGAGATTTCACGCAATGCTTCTGCCCATCTAGATGTTGAATCTGCCATCATGCTGACATTATAGCCCATATCTCTAAAATACTCAGCTAAAGTGATTCCTGAGATTCCAAAACAAAAGAAAAGTCAAAATATATGATAAAAAAAGTATTAAAGCTCCCATGCAGCACACGTCAAACTAGTTCATTATAAGGGCAAATGTAATAAAGTTTCAGCTCAGGTGAAAAATATAGCAATATAGAGAGAGTAGCATATCAATGTGCAGACTATGGATCTTCCCTACTATTGACACTAAGCACAGATCAACTACAAAGATCACTGCACAGCAATGATGGGTGCTGTCAAACGCTACTGATTTCAATACTAAATAACATTCACTTGCCAAATATAATTTAATTGACAATAGGAAAGAATTAGTAAAGATTAGTTCTCAACAATAAAAAGATGTTTAAGAATTTAAGAGGTAAGAGGTAACCTGTATAAATCGAAGCTTCACGAGCAGCCACTGGCATGTTTGAAGTGTTAGCCACTAGTGTTGTACGCTTCATGACAGATTCTTCACGACCATCAGGTAATGTCATTGTAAGTTGTGGAAAGTCCATCAGAACCTGGACAATCATTAAATTGGTTTGAACAACTGCAAAATAACAAGCACACATATTTGATATAAGTAACCAAAAAGGAAGCATACCTCAGCCATTTCATTTCCACGTTCTCCACAACCAACGTAAACAACGGTATCAGAATTGGAATACTGGCAAAAAGAAAAAAAAGAAAAAATTTAAAGGTCTGATGAATTAAGGAAAACATTTCATAGTTACAAAATCATTATGCCTTGACGGGATGTGTTTGTTTCACCTTAGAAAGAGCCTGACTAATGACTGTTTTACCACACCCAAAAGCTCCAGGTATGGCACATGTCCCACCAAGAACTGAGGGAAAAAGAGCATCAAGAACACGCTATACAAAACAGAAGTCATCAGACGTGAAAACTACCAAAATTAGCTCATAGATGAGACAACCAATAACAATTGAGTTTACCTGACCAGTAAGAAGAGGAGTATCAGCTGCAAGTTTTGATGCAACAGGTCTGGGTGTACGTACAGGCCAAGTCTGAAAATGGGTAAAGTACATGCAAGGAAGTTGAAAAGCAGGATAATGATAAGGAAAGCCAATACTTCAATAAAGGAACTACAATGAACAAAAGAAAAGGCTAGAAACCTGAAGCATGGTGAACTTCTTTTTAACACCTTGAAACTCAAGCTCCAACACGGTGTCCTGCAAATACATGAAGATTAAAATCATATACTGCAGAAAATATAGAGAAGCTCCTGAACGCATGAAAATTTAAGAAGTATAAACAAATATGTAAGCTTGTCCTGTCATCATCACAGAAATATGAATCTAAGAGAGGCCACTAACATCACTCTATAAAGAAAATTGAAATTAGAAAAGAAATAATAGACTTAAGAATGTTCTTCTAACAGAAATAGAGATGGCCTAAAATTCTTGAGTGATCAGCGTGTTCTGAGTGAAGACCAACAGAAGTGGATAGCAAAGTTATTGGGATATGATTTTGAGATTCAATATCAACCGGGAAAAGAGAATGTGGTTGCTGATGCCCTATCCAGAAATTCACATTTTTATTTGCTGTCTTCTGTTGATTCCATTAAATATGAGGAGGTGGAAACAGAATTACAGAAGATCCGTGAAGGGAAGTTAGGCTGGATTTGAGAGAGATCAGCACCTCTCGAAAGTGTTGAACCAGTCTTTATGTCTTGCATTTGCTGGTAGATTTCTGTAATTCGAGTAGTATAGCTTAATCTACTGTAATCTGTCTTTCCAATGGTAATTTGTTTCTCTGTACTCTTCCATTCAGCACTGTTTTTTAGTGAAATATCAAAAAACCCAGTTTACTGGGCCCAAAAGGTGTGTTCAGAATTCAGATCCTTTTAATATTCATTCTGAAATCAGTTCTTAACCAAAGAAGCACCGACACGCAAACTTTTTAAAATATGCTTGTCAAACACCGACATATTTTCCGACATGTGTTTTTTTTTAGATCCAAATTTTATTTTATTTTATCTTTTTAACTAAACATGAAAAATTAATTTATAAATCAAATATTTTCTGTTATGGAATTTGACATGAAAAATTAACAAGGTATGAAATTTTTTTTTTGCTTTATATTTATGTTATCGAATTTGAATATTTGATTAGTTACATAACTTATTATGGGCTGCTATATGTATTAACAATAGTTCTTAACAATATTTGATTGGTTACATGACTTATTATGGGCGTGTCGTGTCTCGTGTCCCGTGTCGGTGCAACATAGTTCTTAACAATATATAATGGTGAATAAGTTCAAAAGACAAACCTTTAAGGAATATTGGCCAGGTGGTGCAACGTAGGTAATCTTTCCCATGGCATCAGGAGGAAGTGCAATATGATGTTGCATCAGACTGTTCTCAAAAACAGTCTGCAATAGTAAATAATCCACACAGCTTTAGAAAAAAGATAAACAGAAAAAAGGAACAACCTACAAGATAGCCTAATTGGATACAAAACATACAGCATATAGATCTCCACCGGTTAATAAGTCTCCTTCACCTGTCACCAGTGAATAAAATAGAATATCAGGAAAAAAATGACCACATTACAATCATTTTCTGTATAGAATTAACAATATCAAACAACAATATTTCTCCGGTACCAATTTTCTTAGGCTGAAATTCCCAAAGTGTATCTTTGTCAAGTGCTGGCACAGAGACACCACGAGGAATATAGACATCACCAGATCTTTTAGCAATAGTTTTTAAAGGCCTCTGTTTGGATAAAAAATATTTTCATATTAGAAAGAACAGACTAAGAAGGGAAAATTGTAATTATCTGAATTAGTCAGCAATTGAAGTCATCAGATATAACAGAATGTTCCAAATAGAGGAATGGCAAACCTGAATTCCATCAAAAATATTTCCCAATATTCCAGGCCCCAACTCCACTGATAAAGGCTGTTATGAAATATACTGTATATCAGCTGAAGTATACAATGAGAATTTAAACAATAAGAGGAAGGGATGCAGAACCTAACCTTGTGTGTCCGTAATACTGGATCATTGACCATTAAACCAGCCGTTTCCTCATAAACTAAAATTGCAGATAACCAAAAAGTTTTTCATTAAAGACTAACAAAAAGAAAAGGAAAATCTTGTATCCTCAATACATTATGGAGTCAAATTAGAGAAGGTATGGGATTTCAAAGTGCAGAACCTTGGATAGTAGCGGAATCTCCTTCCAGACGAATAATTTCACCAATGAGGTTATCGCGACCAACACGCACCAGTTCATACATAGCAGCCCCAGCCATGCCATCGGCAACCACGACTGGTCCCGATACCTGTTTTAATTGGGAACACATAATGGTACAACTTTAGCATCCATGATTGACATATGGGATTTCAGTGCTAGAACAACGCGAAAAAATTACAATAACATCATACAAACACACAAAGAGTGTACCCTTTGTGATACAAAACAACAAATAATGAACAAAAAAAACAAGAACAAAAGATAAATCATGTAGTAACTTTAGAAATTCAGCATAAATCCGGACGCTTGTAAAAGACACAAATCACTGATTAAATGAGATAATTAATTAATTAATTAATTAATTAATATAGCGAAGACGAAAATTCAGAAAAACAGAGCAACTTGGAGTATGAGTGGGTGTGCTACGATCGACCTAGGACTGAAGATGGATAAACTGAAGATCAACAAGCGAAAACGTGATTCGAGCCAATCGTGTGGAGTTTAATAGATTAGGGTGCATATGGTAGTGAATAAACGAAAGGAAAGGGAATGGAATAAAAGCAAAAAATAGATATGATTTAGGAAGTAAGGAAGGAAGTTGAGAGTTGAGAGCATACCTTGCGAACGTAACCGTATTCACTCTCCTTCTCGGAGTCTTCGAAGGTGGTCAAGCGAGCTCCATAAACGGCAGGCATTTTTAGATCTGACAAAGAGAAACGATCAACTCAACAAGAGTGCCTGCCTCTGCGACTATGCAACTCTGCAAGCGAGAGAGAGTATGAATGATGAATTGGCAAAGTGAATTTGTAGCAGCGAATCTCAATTACGATTAATTCGATCAGCTATATTGAAGTAAGTTGTTTCCTCCTGATCCCAACTACGTCTAGCTGTAAAGCCCACGTCGCTATATGGTAATTTCACGACACGTATTCGGTTCATTTTAAACCGTTCATGTGACAGTAATTTCATCAATTGCTTTACACTTTAGAGTTAGACTATCCTTTCTCTTTCCTCTCTTGTCCATTTTCACAACTCAATAAATTCAACCACCCCCGGATATCATATGACTTGCCAATACACGATATCCAGAAAAGTTAAATCTTTCGGATTTTGATACTCTAGTGTTGTGAGAAAAAAAAAAACATATATAGTTACGTGAAAAAATTCAGAATCATATAAATATAAATCAAATGATTATGATTTTATAAATATCTATTTTAATATTGTTTTTTTTTTTTTTTTTATATAATTGATTCAGCTTTATATGATTATGATCCAAATAATTAACTAAAAAGACAACTTTTTAAAATTTCAAAAACATTAAAATTTTCTCTCTTTTTAATTTTTTTACTTTATTTAACTTAACATTTTTAAGAATATTTAATTTTTATCCATTATATTTTAATAAGTTATAAAAAAATTTACATGATTAATTTTCAATTAATATTTTTTAATGATCTGATAATTTATGCTTGAATGTTAATAGTGAATTAAAAAAAGAAGAAAAAAGAAGAACCGGTTAAAAAAATATATATTATCACGGTTAAAAAAAAAGGAGAGCCCAGAAGGGTTTTCGATTCACCAAGTTAGAGTCCATAAAGAAGACGGGCCACTGAGGAATTGAGGGCCCAAAAAAAGTACTTTATGAGTTGTTGCGCTCCGCAAGTCACATACATACAAACTAGCTTATTAAGAAAAAATTTGTTCCCCTTAGTACCGATCACTCTAACCTCAGAGGTCTTTGTTTTGGGATCGATTCGTTAGATCTTGGAAACAACCATGGCTATCGTAGGAGTGGAATTGAAGCATGCGGAGGGTGCACCGGAGGAGAATTGCTCCGCCAAGCCTGCCAAGCAGGGAGAGGGTCTCCGTCAGTACTATTCTCTTCACATCCATGAGCATCAGCTCCTCCTCCGCCAAAAGACCCACAACCTCAATCGTCTCGAGGCTCAGCGAAACGAGCTTAATTCTAGGGGTCCGTCCGTTTTCCCTAACCCTAACCTTATTCTTTACTTTTACTTATTAACCTATTCTTTTGTTTTTCTTGTTTTTAACACCAGTTTTCAATTTCATTGCAAAGACACAAACCCTATTAGTTTACTTTTTGTTTTTAGTTTTCATCAATTTATCTTTGATATTCTCAATTATGCCAATCTGGACAGTGAGGATGCTCCGAGAAGAACTGCAGCTTCTTCAGGAGCCTGGCTCATATGTCGGTGAAGTTGTCAAAGTTATGGGCAAGAACAAAGTCTTGGTCAAGGTCAGCTCATGTTCCATTCTAACTCTCTCTCTCTCTCTCTCTCTCGTGTGTCAAATGCTGGTAATGTTAATTTGTACATGAAATTTGATAAATCCGGATCAAAACCTAGCTGAAGTTGTTACAACCACAACATTCTCCTATAATGATGGCTACTAGAAGAAACGTTGCTGCTGTTATGATTTTATTATTTTACCATTATGTTATTTTATCTTGTTATTTGAGTTGCTACAGATTAGGCCATTAGTTGTTAGTGGAGCCTATCTTTAAGGTACTGGTTATTTTTCTATTTTACTGGTTCTTTGGTGTTGTCTATTTAACTTGTAGTCAAGAAATAAAGCCATCTTGAATTTTTATCCAAGAAATATTGCACTTGTGCAAAGAGGTCAAGCTTCCTCAGTAAATCTATCCCATTCAATTTTATCATCTTGTTAGTTGCTATTATTCCAGATTGGCAACGTTCTTATCAAAATAGGTAAAAAGAGTCAAGGTAGACCCCTGTACGTACCAGCTTGGAGGAAAATTTATTGTTCGAACTGATCACCAAGCCTTGAAGCACTTGTGGTCACTGAAAATTACAACTGTGGCTCAACAAAAATGGCTCTTCAAGTTGATGGGCTTTGATTTCATCATTGAGTACAAGAAAGGGCGTGAAAATAAAGTGGCTGACGCTTTATCTAGGCAGCACGAAGATTTTGTAGCTGTGAATGCTCTTAAAGAAGAAGTGCAAACAAAGGAGGAGCTGCAAAAAATAATTGAGTTGATTATGCAAAGGAGAAGCAGTAGGGCCATGGCAGTACAGGGAAGGTGTAATTTTTTTAAGAACCGCATTTACTTGGCAGCTGATTCTGATCTCATTCAGGATATTTTGGCCCAATTCCATGACAGCACTCATGAGGGGTATTTTAAGACACTTCAAAGGCTGAGATTAAATTTCTATTGGAAGGGATTAAGAAGAGATCTCAAGCGATACATAAGAGAATGTGAGACATGCCAGAGAAATAAGGCTGATCTATCCCTTCCCGCTGGTCTTCTTCAACCTCTTCCAGTACCTGCACAAGTATGGGAAGATCTTTCTAGGGATTTCGTAGAAGGTTTACCCAATTCAGGTGGCAAGACCATAATATATGTAGTGGTTGATCGGTTCTCCAAGTATTCGCATTTCATGGCAATTGCTCATCCCTATTCGGCTGTAAGTATAGCCAAGATTTTTTTTGATAACATCTTTAGATTATATGGAATGCCAAAAACTATTTTGTGTGACCGAGATGTAACCTTTCAAAGTTCCTTTTGGAAGGAGTTATTTTCTTTAAATGGTACTAAGTACAACTTCATTTCAGCCTACCATCCACAAACGGATGGGCAAACAGAGGTGGTCAATCGAACTCTTGAAATGTATTTAAGGTGTCTCACAGGGCCACAGCCAAGGGAGTGGTCCAAATGGCTTACTTGGGTAGAGTATTGTTATAATACTAGCACCCATTCTGCTCATGGAAGGTCCCCTTACGAAATTGTATATGGAAAATTACCTCCTACCTTGCTAACATATGTTCCAGGTACAGCCAAGGTTGTAGGAGTGGAGGAAGAACTCATAGCCCGAGATAATGTCCTTAAAGAAGCCAAAGAAAAGCTGTTGCAGGCACAAGGTAGAATGAAGAAAATTTATGATGGGAAGCACAAGGAAAGAGAATTCCAAGTGGGAGATGTTGTGTATCTAAAATTACATCCTTATAGACAACTGACTATTGCAAGAAGAAGAAATATGAAGCTGGCTGCAAGGTGTTATGGACCTTACAAGATTGTGCAGCGCATTGGTAAGGTAGCTTATAAACTGGAACTGCCTTCAGATGCAAGGATACATAATGTTTTCCATGTTTCATTACTCAAGAAGCATGTAGGGAAGGAGACCCAAGTGCAAACTTAATTGCCAACAATGGATAAAAGTGGACAGCAACTGTTGTCCTAACCTGCTGCAATTTTGGAGTACCGAGAACAGAAGGGAAAGAAACAAGTATTGGTTCATTGGCAAGGGCTGTTGTTGGGTGGTTTGTTGATGGTGGAAAAATATAAGTTCTGATAGGGGACGTTCCTCTATTCTTGCAGAACACAGATTCGTCCCTTAGTTCCAACCCAAGTGCGCAAGTGCACACATCAAGTAATAAAGGGAGTATTAATGCCCAAATTATCATTCCCACGAGGATAGAGTGCTAATTATTGTTTTATCACTGTTTATAAAGAATGAAAATGAGAAGAAAAGTTAGTAAATGAACTGTCTGGTCAAACGTTCCCTACTGTCTTGACAACGTTCCTTAGGAACAGTAGGTTCAATCTGATGGCAAACAGTTGCTCGCTGCGTTATGTATGTGATCCTTCTTCTTTAGAAGAAGGTGAGATAATAACTACTAAAACAGAAATAACTATAATCAAAAGACAACAGGGTGGTGGTTAAAACAGTTTAACAGAAGGAACAGATTCACTGCTTCACTCTTAAAGGGACTGTTTTCTCTGCTCAAGACTTAACACCTTTTGGCTTTGTCCCAGTTTCTTTGCCTGCCAACTCGGATTCCTCAGCTCATGGTCTAGATGACTCACAAGTTTCCATATTCCTATGGCTCCCTTGACTCCAACAGATACTTAGTTCAGAACCTTAAAATGGACGAGTTGGCCCCTTATTCCTAAGGTGACCAATAGCGTTTTTGCCATGACATCTACCTTCCCCCAATGGCTAAGCTGTCTGAAATCCCTTCCTTATGGAAGTTCCTTTCTCAGTATGTACCCAATTTTCATTGGCGCACAATGAATATAGCTTACTTAGCCAAAGAAATACAAAAAACTTCGATCAAGAGTTTTGAAAACAGTTCTTTAAGAGTTTCACAGTTTACCCGTTCCACAGATAGTTCAGCTCATGGCTGATAGTTTAAACATAATTATTCTCAACTGAGATCACATAGACCCGAGATTCAGTCAAGAGATAACGATTGGAACGAAGAGAAAAACTCTTATATTAATTTAAAAGACAGTTTACAAAAAGAAACAGAAAATGGAGAAAGATAGGTATTTGCTCGTGAGGAGTCTTGATGGTTGTTTACAGAGAAGAGAAGAGGGGTTGTCACTTAACTACAGTTACAACTTAAAATTAAACTAAGTTACTAACTACTACTAAGTGATCTCTTCCTTTCGGACTGCAAACCCTCCAGCATTCGATGATGTTTTTGTGTGAGGGTGGTCCTATTTATAGCTGGAAGAGGAGTGGCAAGACTGTAATTCCTTTGGAGCTAGTTGCTTGAATGAAGGGACGGGACTGTGGTAGCAGAGTGTGAAGCTTGCGTGAATTGCTGAATGAAACAGGATTTGGTGATGATTAGCCGTTGTTTGCAGACCTTCCCATGCTTTGCTTCTGTTTTCAGCCAATGAGAACTCTTGATTCTCTGCTCTTCACGTTTCCAGCTGCTCAGTTGGTGCACCGCCTTGCTTTTTAGAAGTCTTTAACTCTACGTTACCTGCAAAGTGTACAGAAGCATTAAATGAATGGAGCAGGTGCATTAAATGCGGCTCAGTCCGTTCCCCTTTTAATACATTTTAAAGGAATACGTTACCATCCGTTCCCCCACTGTGTTTTTGTCACAAATGTCTAAAACAAGTGATTTTCGTGCTGAAGTTGCTCATCAGATGAGGGAACGTATGGTATTTTGCCATTAAAATGGGGGGCTTAGATGAGAACGAATTTACGTCCCATCAGCTGTCCCCAGCTGAAGCAACATGGGAGAATTTGGAATTTTTGCTGGTTCAATTTCCAGATCTTACTCTGGAGGACAAGAGTTTCATTTAAAGGAGGGAGGATATTTTACAACCACAAAATCCTCCTATAATGATGGCTACTAGAAGAAACGTTGCTGCTGTTATGATTTTATTATTTTACCGTTATGTTATTTTATCTTGTTATTTGAGTTGCTAAAGATTAGGCCATTAGTTGTTAGTGGAGCCCTATCTTTAAGGTACTTGTTATTTTTCTGTTTTACTGGTTCTTTGGTGTTGTCTATTTAACTTGTAGTCAAGAAATAACGCCATCGTGAATTTTTATCCAAGAAATATTGCACTTGTGCAAAGAGGTCAAGCTTCCTCAATAAAACTATCCCATTCAATTTTATCATCTTGTTAGTTGCTATTATTCCAGATTTGCAACGTTCTTATCAAAATAGGTAAAAAGAGTCAAGGAAGACCCCTGTACGTACCAGAAGTACTGATTTTTCCTTTACTTTTTTCAGGTCCATCCAGAAGGAAAATATGTTGTCGATATTGATAAAAATATTGACATTACAAAGATTACTCCGTCAACTAGAGTTGCCCTCCGCAATGACAGTTACGTTCTTCATTTAGTTCTGCCTAGCAAAGTTGATCCATTGGTCAACCTGATGAAAGTTGAAAAGGTTCCCGATTCTACATATGACATGATTGGTGGTTTAGACCAGCAAATCAAAGAAATAAAAGAGGTACATTGCCTGAATTCTATATATGTTTTGTACTATTATATATTGGGAAAATCATTGTTGTTTCTGGCCCTTATGTATGTGATCAAATTTACAGGTCATTGAGCTACCAATTAAACATCCTGAGCTGTTTGAGAGTCTAGGAATAGCACAACCAAAGGTAGTATCTTATTCTGAGGTTATATCCAAATTTTCCATCCTTCCATCAGCTTATTTAGTTGTTGGTCTTTCTGTTTGCTGACTTTCTTTCACATATAACAGGGTGTCCTGCTCTATGGTCCCCCTGGTACAGGAAAAACTTTGTTGGCTCGGGCAGTGGCTCATCATACTGATTGTACATTCATCAGGGTGTCAGGTTCTGAGTTAGTTCAGAAATACATTGGAGAAGGTTCTAGAATGGTCAGGGAACTTTTTGTTATGGCCAGGTTTATCCTCTTTACTCAGCTTAATCCACTCATTATCTGTTTCCCTACACCAAAATAGAAGGGGGAAAAGGATGTCTTCTTGGCTTCATGACTTTGTGGGTTGAAGATATTTCTAAGACAGGGCATAAGTTAACATAGGGTGAAGATATATTTCTAGTTAATGAGATTTTAATTGTCCAGTTTGGAGTTAGATGCACAAAATATATGACTGGAATTTGTGTGGATATTATGTCCTTTTTTCATTTTTCACTAAGGGACACTTAAAAAGACCAAAATGGACATTTTTATTCCCCAAAACATTTTTGTTTTATTATATTCCATGTTCAGATGATCTAAAAGAATGAAATATGCTGTCTGAAGTCTTGTTTAATTATTATGATGGACCACTGAACTCCGTTCTTTTTTCACAGGGAGCATGCTCCATCAATTATCTTCATGGACGAAATTGACAGTATTGGATCAGCCCGTATGGAATCTGGAAGTGGTAATGGTGATAGTGAGGTACAGCGCACTATGCTGGAACTTTTGAACCAGTTGGATGGATTTGAAGCTTCAAATAAGATCAAGGTGACACATGTTGCTTCATTATGGTGCTATACTCCTATAGTGTATTAAGGGGAATTTCAAAATTTGCATGTTGTCTACTGCAGTAAATAGAAATCCGTAACAGATAGAGATATTATTAATTTTATCTGACTATTTTGAGATATAAATGCACAATATTTTGACGAAGTGCTGAAGAGAAATCTGTAACTATAGGTTCTGATGGCCACAAATCGGATTGATATCTTGGATCAAGCCCTCCTTCGACCTGGACGGATTGACCGGAAGATTGAATTTCCAAACCCTAATGAAGAGGTTTCCATCCTTGCCTTCATGTTACCCTTTAATATTATTGTAATCAGAAATGCCTTCTGCATTGATAACAGATATTCCTGAAAATGACTGTGTATTCATTTTTATGTAGTCGCGGCTAGATATTCTGAAGATCCATTCAAGAAGAATGAATTTAATGCGTGGCATTGATTTGAAGAAGATTGCTGAGAAGATGAATGGAGCATCTGGTGCTGAGCTTAAGGTATTTTCCACTTCATTTGCATTGCATTTTTGGTTTTTCTAGCTGCTCTACTATCCTCTTAAAAATTGTCCTTTGCTTTTGTGATTTATTACTCTGTGGTCGCACTTATTTAAATAATAGGTGCCTTCATTTTCATATAATATTTCCTTGTCGAATGGGGTAAATGCACCATCCAAGTCAAAAACCACAATGATAAAAGCATGTAGTGATGAATTTAAGTATTCATGCTACCAATTGTAGAGCAATGTGTTTGCTTATACTGTCTGCTTAAATTAATGCATTCTTTTAAGTGTGTCCTAACCTGAAGATCCTTTATTTTTGTGTCTCTTTTATGCAGGCTGTGTGCACAGAAGCTGGAATGTTTGCTTTGAGGGAGAGGAGGGTACATGTGACACAGGAGGATTTTGAGATGGCTGTGGCCAAGGTGATGAAAAAGGAAACCGAGAAAAATATGTCATTGCGGAAGCTGTGGAAATGATTTTTATTTCATGTTTCTGGTGCTTATTGTCCTACGAGGATGGACAGAAAACTCACAGTAGGGTTGTTTCAATTTACAGTCACACTGGCTTTCATTTTGATATGTTGACTGAGTTATGTACCAAATCATGATTCTTTCCATTTAAGTTCTTCCTTGTCTGTGTCTTCAGAGTGCACTCTGCATATATTGGGTTAATATTTTTAAAGATTTATTATTGCAGACCACTAAATTAAACTAGTGAAAGTCATGAGCAACCACAATTATGCAATGCCTAAAAACAATAATCCTTTAAACACCAAACGAAACCATTATATTGAAGTAAGAGCTTACAAATCACAACCTCAAAACCTTTCTTGGCGTCATTGGATTTGGATTGAAGTCTACTTTCTATGGAACGTGTGCGCGCTTGTTATCTTGAAATCAATCAAATTGATACTGAATGCCAAACTTATTTACTAATGGGATAAATAGCAGTCATTTTACAGGAAAAAGTTTACTATCATGCAAAGCTACAGGCATAATTATTGAATACAGTGTTTGTTACAAATTTTTTATTATTATTTATGTTGTCGTTTTGCTTTGCAGGAAAAAAAAATAGTTACGTACGAAACCAAAGCCCTTTATTAATTATACTCTACTTTCTTCTTCTTCTTCTTTTCGGTAACTGAAGGGTATCCTCATCCTTTTGGGGGTGGGACTAATCCCAAACTGAGCACCGTAGGACTCTTTCGGGGGCGGCTCTACCCAATTCTTTTTTATTTCATACTCAGGGCTCGAACTCGAGACCACTGATTAAGAGAACACAGTCTCCGAACCAACTGTGTCAAAGGGTTTAGGTATACTCTACTTTCTTTTCTCCTTTGACTAATTGTTAATTTAACACTGTTGAGTATTTTTTAAAAGTAAAATAAAAATAGAAACGGTTATTTTTAATTATCAGTAAGCTCTACCACACAAATTTCTTAAAGATAATCTTATCATTTCCTTGAAGAATCGTAATGACTTTTAACATAAATGTAAAATGAATATAGTTCAACAAATGTTGTGAAGAGGAGCCGTTGCTTGAAGTGCCATGTTTGATATTTCTCGATATTCTAACGCTCTGATATCTATAATATTTAAAATTTTATTATATATCATAAAAAAGATCAATATTTTACTTGATATAATAGAAATAAAAAATGGATACTGAATAAATCTCACTGGAGTATGTAAGAGATTTTCAGTTTGAAAATATAATAAATATTGACATTTTTTTGCAAAATTGATGAGTTTATAAATTTAATTTAATTTTTTTATTAAATTAATGAATATTAAATATAATATAACTACATAAATTAAAAATATTATTTAATATCAAAACGTGTCCTAACGTATCAAAATTTAATATTTTTAAAATTTATAAGTCGGAGTATACCGTCTTGTGTCCCATATCGGTGTCAGTACAACATAGAAAAAGAGTATTGTTTGCGTATAAATTTTATAAACAATTGATATAACTTAGTTTATTATGCTGAAAAATTGCTTTATTGTCATTTTCTCAGGTATTAATAAGTCTTAACTCATTTAACGGCATGATCATGTTTTTTATTATTTTTTATAAAAAGCAACTTATTACTATGCGCTGTCTCCTATGAGTAATTAATTAGAAGAATATTATTATTGTACACTTATTTGTTTTATATATGAACGAAATTTCAAGGTGGTGGTTAAGGACACATAATTTTAAAAGTTCCTTTTGAGAGAAAAGGATAAAGTAAAAAACTTGTTTGTTTCAATGGCATACAATACATGGCTGTATGTATGTATGGTCTCCACAAGCACTGAAGCAGGCCCAGCCCAGCCCAGCCCAGCCGTATGTGTCGCTTACGTACTCCTTCCCTGAGATAGAGAAGGCGAAGCAAACATAGCACCGCGTAACAAGGAAAAGGTGAAGGTAATTTGGCTCCTCTCATTGTTGTTTTGATTCACTCACTATTTAGCTATGCATTTTGGATAGTAACATTCTCCCAAATATAGATTTGCGGGATTATGGACTTGGCTTTCCGTTCACCCTTGTACCTACCATCACCATCTACCACCACTGCTGCCACTACTACAAGGAGGCCCAATTACCTGGTTAGGCGTTTGAGATCAACCACCTGGAAACTCTCCATGTCCATGACCATACCTTCAGCTCAGGTTGCTCTTCTTATGCATCTCTCTCATGCTTGCTATTTCCTTTCCAACACAAACAAACTGGGGTTAACTAACTAACAACTTCCTTTTTTTGGGTCATAAGGCATATGATTCTGTGTTGGAGAACAAAAAGCATCAACTTTTGAACTCTCTCCAAGACACACAAAGGGGGCTCTTGACAACTCCTGACCAACGCTCTTCTATCGAGGAGGCTCTGGTACTAGTACTACTATTTTGTATCTTCCTTATTTTCTTTTGTCCATTCATTCAGTCCACACTAAATATAAGCTGTTTTTGGTTTGGTTTGGTTTGGTTTGCTTGGCAGGTAAATGTAGAGGGGTGCAACATGGGTGAGCCTATCAATTTGTCCATGTTGGATGGAACATGGCGCCTCCAGTATACTTCTGCTTCTGATGTTCTCATTCTTCTGCAAGCTGCTGCTACACTTCCTTTCTTTCAAGTACTAACTAACATTCCTGCATTCTGTCAACTGCAGCAAAATCTTGCTTCTTTTTTTCATCAATCTCTTGGCCAATTTGTTTTCTTCTTACTTCACATTTTGTTTTACCTTTCTTTTCTAGTTATGCAAAAACTCTTGGCATTGACCATTTTACTTCACAAGGCTTCGGGGTTAAAATAAATTTCTTACACTGTGCTTTCTGATTTAATTTTCTAGATCATTTTTATGAGTATCTTGCTTACTCAGAAGTCTTCTCATTAAAATGATTTCTACAAGTTAGGTGCTACGCTTATTCACAGCTATTATATCTATGAAATACTTTTATGTAGGTCATTGTGGGAATGCTTTTTCTATGTTCTCTGTAATTTTGTTTTTTCCTGTGTTCTCTTACCATTATATATATTATTTCATTTGCTTCCATGTTGAGATAGGTTGGGCAGATCTTTCAGAAATTTGAATGTCGTGATCAATCTAATGGAGGTGTTATCCGTAATATTGTCCGGTGGAGTATTCCAAATTTGTTAGAGGTAAAACAGCACCTTCCTTTGCACTCTCCTATCTTAGGAGGCTGCAATTAAGTTCATCCTTATCAAAGTTCTGCCGTTCCTAGTTTACACTTTGAATTGTGACTTTGTTTTCCGTAACTTAGTTTGATCGCCCTTCACTCGTCAATTTTTTCATTCCCTTTCTATTTCCACAATATAATAAAAAGATCAACTAGATTATACTCGTCAGATTGATTATTGTATATGCTTTCTTAAATATATCAAGGTGGCAAAACAACTTGTCGTTTGTATTTCTGTTACTAGTGATCATTTCCTTTATACAATTCAAAATTTTACTTCCTTTTTCCAAGATTATGCATTGCAAAAAGGATTTGGTTTTTCGGGCTTTTAATGGGGCATGGGTATACATAATCCCTGGGGGAAAAGCAAAATTAAAAATTGAATTAAGAACATTTGAACTTTCCCCTTTTTTCAGTTGTTGTCAGTCTCCATGAACATGACTTATGCTGTAACCTTTATTGCAGTAGACATTTTGGGTAAGTTCAAGACCTATGATTTGCATGCAAACTCAGAATTTTACATTAAGGATGTGTTCAAATGTATGGGAAACAGATAATCTTATTAGTCAAAACCTAGTTCCTTTATGCTTCTAGCAAATGTATATATTGTTATCTTGTAACTCCTAGCCAAACCTTGGATGGTTGGAATACAAAAATTGGATGAAATATTTATGCTTGAGCTTTGTTGCTCTGTCCTTAAAAAATTCTTGGTCTATTGCTTACAGCAACAAGAAGGTGCTACATTGCTTGTATCAGCCAAGTTTTCTGTTGTATCTGTACGCAATATCTACCTTAAGTTTCAAGAGGTAATCATTTTGCCTTAGATGAACATGGTTTCGTATATAGTTGAGACACAAATCTATCTAAAAGAATGCCAGGCTTGTTTAGTACACTTTACATATAATTTCTCTTTTCTTGTTAGTAAAAGGTTAGAGTGATCATCCACATTTGATTTCATTTATGTTATTTGTTATGTCATAACATTTTTTCCATGCCCCATTTCTAGATTTTATTATGTTTATGCATAAGTTTTTATTCCTCAAGAATGTGTTAGAGCTTAATGTAAATTCTAGGATTAATATAATCTGATTTATTATTTATGATGGTGATACCTAAGATTGAGAAAAGATTCTAATTTACTATTGATGTTTGGGTATTAAAATGGCATTTCCTTCTGTAGTTGGTACCATGAATTTGTAACATCAGATGAAACATGCAATTTATACCTGGCAGATCACAGTTCAAGATATAAATATTAGTGAAGAGCTGCAGGCTCTAATAGCTCCAGCAATACTGCCACGAACTTTTATAAGTCTGCAGGTAATTCAACCTTAATTTATGGGTATGGCTGTGTGCTTGGATTGTTAATTTGAATGCACTCTCTTACTGGCATAAGATATACGATACCATACCATTGGCACGGGTAACCATGTGTCGAAGCTGTTTCTGCTCCGAAACTTTTTTTTTAGTAATATCCGCTCCAAAACTTTAGTGAGTCAATTCTGACGGCAAGGGACTTTAGTTTTCCCGTTTCCGAGTAGGAATTGGACGGGTGTCCAAGAGGCCAATTCTGGCGGCAAGGGACTTTGTTTTCTTTATGTGAATGGTCTAATAGTTATGTAACTCGAGAGGACCAGTGCAGACCAGCTATGTTTATTATGGTTAACTTGTATATGTATATGTATACGGGTGCTCGCACACCCATATATTGTTTATAAGTAGCATACAATCGTGCTTTTCTCCTGCAGATCTTGCAATTTCTCCGTGCTTTCAAAGCTCAAATCCCTGTGAGGGATTCAGGAAGGTATTTCATGGGTTACTTTGTTGAAATAGTTCCTGCCTTTTTTGGACAAATAAGTAAGTGATGCTTTTTATTTTTATTTTTTTTTGAGTTGTAGGGAATCAGTAGGAGGACTATATTATCTTAGTTATTTGGATGATAATATGCTTTTGGGTCGTGCTGTTGGTGGAGGAGGGGTATTTGTGTTTACGAGAGCCCAATCTCTCTACTGATGAACGTTGAGCAGCAGTTAAAACTTGTAATGCTTCCGGCAATAACACTCGATGAGCCTTTGTTTATGGAAGTAGCCATATGCAAAGCAAGAAAGTAATGATAGGATTATAGTACATAATTATAGAATAAGTCTATTATTTGCAATTGATCAGAGGTTGACTTGTATTGTATCTATTGATTTCATTCTATATTGGCAAAGCAAGGAGATAGTCCGTGTTCAATATAGATGTTAATATCAGATCCCTAGCATATAGTTCTTCAAATTGCGCATTTGAACAAAGCATCATTTGACAATGAAAGCATCATGTGAACAAAATGGTAAACAAAACTAAACTAAACATAAAAAGAGCGAGAGAGAAGAATTAGTCTCAAACAAACAACCGTCTTTTGTTGTAAAGTTAAAATTCATATTACATGCTAAACTGTTGAATGAAAAGCTTCCATCTCAATTACAGTTTCATTTTAACCAACCCTGGCTGTAAGATTACCTCTTCCAATTTGTTCGTCATGCATCATGTGGTCTTGTCAAGTTCATTTCTGTGCTTGCGAGTTGATCTACCTATGCAATGGAGCCTAAAGGGAAATTAGAAAGGACCCAACGAAAATAAAAAATAAAAAATTAGAAAGATGAAAATGAGTTGGAAATTGATGGTGACAGTATATACTGAAGGACGGTGATGGGAAGGTGAATACTGAGTAATGGATGATTAGGATAACGAGGGAGATGGGGCTACCAGCCAGAAATATGGGAACCCATTCACTACTATTCATGGACCACTCACTGAGTATACTATTTGTTATGATTTTCTAGTTTTGGAGAAAATTAAAATAATTGGTGGTTAGGTGGTAAAATAGTCAGCATACGTAAATAATAATAATAATAAAATAATAATGTAAGAGTCAATCGTTTATGAGCCAACAACCACCACACCAGCCATCATCATTCATAGATACTAGATAGGTAGGTGCGTCTTTCCAACGCCATCATCATTTACAAGGCTACTTCCACCTCCCCCTCCACCACGAATAAATCTATTCTGTATTTGATTCGATTAAGTTGAATAGTATGTTGAATAAGAATTCATCAGATGAGTTAGTTGGGATTGAGAAGTTGCCGGATCATGTGCTTATAGAGATATTCACAAGAGCAGGAGTGAGTGAGTGGGCGCAAATATCATGTGTGAAGAAACAGTGGGCTTCTCTTTTCCGGTGTGAATGTTTCTGGCAAGCTGCTCTTGCTAACAATTATCCATTTGCGGATCCTTCTAAAACATGGCCTGGACCTATTCCTCCTCCTGCTTTACCCAAGAGGTATCTATGTATGTAACTCAATTCTTCTTTCATCTTTGTTTGATGATATAGCAATTAACACCACACCACACCACACACTCTGGCTATGCTTCTTTCAGGAGATTCATGGCCTTATATATTAGTCAACACATGTTTCCTTCCAATCCCCAAACACAAATAGATGAGATTGTTGGTCATACTTACCTCTTTTTGAAAGAGCAGCTTCAACTTTCTATTATGCCGCCTCACAGTGGAATTCTTCATGGAACCATGATTGATCAGTTCATTGCTTGTGGAAACTCAAGAGACGTAGCCCATGAACTTGCTTCTCGGATTTGGCTAGCTGTTCTTGACAATTTGGAGGAAAACCAACATACTTTTTGCTTACTTAAACGCCTTGCCCAAGAAGGGGATGTGAGTGTACCTTCCAACTATACTTGAAGCTAACATGTTTCCTTTTGTAACTTTTGCATGCTACCTAATGCAATTATTCTTGTTTTTTATATTATTTTCAGCAGGTATTTCTTCCATACCCATACACTAGATCGGTCAAAGTTCAATGGAGGGTGTTTGAGAAGCTTTTCACTGATTTCCGTGATTGCTTCAACCATGTAGATTATTATGATATGTTGGCATGTGCTAAAAGCAGGTTTCAGCCAATACCATCTGCTTGGTTAGGTTATTAAATGTAGGCTTTAATACTTGGTATGTTGATCCTGACTTGGAATTTTGCAATACCATCTTCCTGGAATTTTGCATCAATATATAGAAAGTTAGGATACGCATGACAGATGCGGATCCTGACTTTTAAATGTAGATTATTATCGCTATAGAAGTAGTTAACCCAATATAATCTTGGTGTTTGATTTTCTCATGTTGAATGAGAATTCAATTCTCATGTTGTAGAGATAAAAAGTATGTGAGATCCATGTGGTAGAAAAAATTATATGTAGGACCCATGTCAGCGCGAAAATCGAAGGGTGTGTAGGAAAATTTGAATTCTCATGTTGAATGAGAATTATAAAACCCTATAATCTTTCTAGTAATACGCCCTTAATTCTTTTCTAAATTGAATCCCTTCATGTTTCCCTAAAATGAAACCGCACTGAAATCTGAATTACCCCTTGTTCTTTTTTCTTATCCTAATTGTTGTTGGCTAATAAGGACGATAGGTTCATGTAATGTATTTATAATTTAATTTCAATGCTTTGTTGAAAATTTGGTGGGAAATATTTTACCACACTTTATTCCTTCCCAGTTTGAATTGGATTAGGCGAATAATTGATTTGAAAAAAATTAATTTTGATATAATTCTAAAATAGTAAAGTTTTTCATTTATTCTATACATCATATAATTGGTAATATAGTTAAACTTAACTCTTATATTTACGATTATCGTTATTTGCGTTACATATCTTTGTAAAGGATCTTTTCCCTGAATAACAAAAATGCAGTATAAATACTTTATGATTTTAACCAAAAATAAAAATTGCACGCTGGTAAACTTGTCCCCTAAGTACCCCATTTTATGAGGTATCTAGGGGATTGAGAATTTTGTGAGCGACATATTCTATAAGTTTTTCAAGCTATTTACAAACATAATTATTTTCAAAACAAATTATTGCAATATTTAGCGCTGAACATTATCAGAAGCAATGGAATTTTTGTTTTGTATTGTGTACATGTAACATTAAAGCAACGGTTTTTATTATTATACGGACTCGGAAGATTGCGAATAGGTTACTACTTATCACTATCACAAGTCTTGTTTACGCTTTAGTGCATGTATGTCAAGATTTTCGACCCTTCAAAATTAATTTTGCCAACAAAAAAATCAAAGCTCACATTAATTGATCTTATTTGGTTGAAAATTACAAAAAACAATTTCACTGAAGAAATGGATTTTGATGGAATTGAGTTGCTGTATACAAAATTGCTTTTGAGGTGAAACTCTCAAAAAGCTCAAGTATTTTTCTTTTGTTTGATCTTCGGTCTCCTTACTTTCTTTTAGCTCTCTGTTTTCTTTTCTTTCTTTCTCCCTCTTTGTCAGTTTGAATCTCATTTCGATTTATTAATTCCATAATCTATTTTTACCAACATTATTTTTCATTAAAAAATCTTTTAATCATGTAACAGCATGTGATTATAAATATGTAATAAGTGACTCTGTTAATTTTATATGATAGCATGATTAATGAGGATAATAAATTATTCAAAACTTAAAAGCACTTCGAGCTCTTCTAATCATGAAACTTGATCACAATATGACACTATATTCGATGAAATATAAAATCTAGAAGATCAACCTTTGTTTTTTTTATTTACACACGTTTATATACATAAATCTTTATATTTAATTTTGAATCCGTCTCGAATCAAATTAATTATGAAGTAATGAATCGATTGAAATATTTAAAAAAAAATAAAATAATTATATATTTTAATTTGGTCATTCATGTTACTAAGTAAAAGGTAAAGTATTTGAGATATGTACAAGAATTTTTGTATGTTCCCCTGTGATTATTGTTGGGTGGAAGAGAGTGTGATTATGGAAATTGATAGAGGTCAGAAACATAATTTCAGGATGTTATCAAACACAAATCGAAACCACTTTTGCGCGGCTTTCTGACAATATTCTGTGTACGACGTCCCTGTCTTCTTCTACTGTAGCTGTTCTGTTCCTCTCTCTTTATAGGCTTTCGTGTTCCCATCCCATTACATTTCATTAATGCTAATACCCATTTATTTTTATTTTTTCTGTGATTTATACTTTTAACGTATCTAAATCCTGAACTTTTTTTTATTGGGAAATGAGATATCAAACAAAACAGAGTGCTCAGTGCTCTCACATTTATTTCATTTTTATTTTATTGTTTCATACACTGCACACTGTTCTGTGTTTTCTCTCTGCTTCTTCTCAGTCCCTTCTCTCTCTCTAGGGTTTCTCTATGCAAAGTCTTCTATCTTCGCTTGTGCTGAGTTTTCTGATTCTGATATGTGACATTGATCTCATCAAGTTTCCCAAATCCTTAGGTTAGTGGAAAAGAACATTGGAAAAATCTTCTGCCTTATTTTTTCCATCACCTTGTTGGGCTGCTTTGCATGTAAAATTTTGATCCTTTTGCTTTATTTACTCATCTGCTGCTGCTCAATGCATGTACATTTTCTCTTTGAATTGGTACTGGTTAAGAAAAATAGTACTAAAACCAGCAAAATTGTTGGGAGTGTGTCTGAATCATCTTCATTACTGTCTGAGTTCCCGAAAATCTGACTTTTTAGTGATTTTGTTCACTATTTGCTCAAGAAAATCGCCTTCAGCACTTCAATGTAGGAAGAATCTGTAAGCAAACCAGGTGAGACAGAGAGAGGTTGTCTTGTCGGTGGTTCTGATATCTGTAAATGCTGAATGCTGTCCCAGTCTTATGTCAAAGGTAAAAAGAATCCATCATCTCGCATATTTGGAAGGGTTTCTAGAAGAGTACTTGCCTTTTATCACCTTTCTATTAAGGGGATTAGAATTTTTGGAAATTTTCAGTTTCTTTAACTGAGTTTTTTTTTTATTTTCTTCTTTACCTGTTTTCTAATGGATACTAGTAGCTATTAATTAGCCCCGATCTATATGAATGGAAAGGAATGTCATTTCCACTATTATGATGTATGCTTGCTTCGCCATTAGATCACTAATGTCTTGTCTTGGACGTAAGTTGGTACGGAATCTGGGGCTCAAGGTTGCTTTATTATCAGGTTTTTGGGATTTTGAGCAAGTTAAAGGCCCTTTTCTTCCGTTTCAATTTCCCAGGGCTTTGTTGTTAAATCCAGCCCCCTTGTTTTGCTCGGCATGAAAAACAAAACTGAGCTGTTGATGCTACACTATTATCTGGTCTATTTAGTATTACTCACTCTCTTTCTGTTTTGATATGATTGTAGGTTTTGATTTAAAAGATTTAAAATATTGGGCTCAGCGTAGAATCGTTTGTCTTTGAAAGGTAAGGTGGTTCAATCATGGATTTTTTGAAAATCAAGAAGTTCAGAAAATCTCAGAAAGCAGATGGAGAAAAGGATTTGGCTGACAAGGCAGGGCCAGAGCCCGAGGAACCTAAGCCTAATAATGGCTGTCCTGATCTGTGTAAATCAGCAAATGCAGATTCTGCTGCTGAAGCTGAGGATGATGATGATTTTATTACCAATGAAGTAAAGAGGAGGCTGAAAGAATTGAGAAGAAATAGTTTTATGGTGTTGATTCCCGAAGAAGATTCCTGCCCAGAGGAGGGGGAGGATGAAGAGGAAGAGGGAGAGACAAGCTCAAATGAATGGAGGGATGTGGAGGCAGAAGGTCAGCAATGGTGGCGTGGCTTTGATGCTGTATTTGAAAAGTACTGTGAAAGAATGCTATTCTTTGATCGGATGAGCACACAGCAACTTAGTGAAATTGCCAAAGGTAGACTTTTTCTTCTTGCTTTTTTTTGTTTGGGGGGTGAAAAGGGGCCAGAGGCATAAGAAAAGCAAACAACTTCATAGAAGAAAAATCTGGGATTTGTTGTTGGAAATGATAAAATGATAAAAATCATCCCATCTCTGTATGCTGCATCTGCAGATACTAGATTGTTGGGAATTTCTACTAAGGTTTTTGGGTTCATTTAGGTGTTTTGTTTGTGGACTAGCTGCATGATGTGTGAACAATAATGGATGCCTAATGAAATATTACTCTCTATCATTTCTTTTCGGAAAAAGGAAATATTAGCCCAAAGGAAAGATCTTATAAGCATCATGGTATCTTATCAATTGGAATTTGATTTACATTAACATTTTAATTATTTTTCCTGCTACAAGAGCTCCATGGTTCTTTAAGGTGTGCTGGCATTTTGTAAGTTTGGATTAAGCAATTTGTTTGGATTCAGTTCGGTTTATTACTTCATCAAAATTAAGGGAGTTGTGTGTCATCATCCCAATGCAAACATAAACCCAAATAGAATCAAAGTTAGGGGAATTATGTTCCACAGCTTAACATGCCTGTTCTAATCTTGTATAATAAAAAGTACTTTGGTAAAAATAAAGACCTCGTTATATTGCATTTGTCATATCTTGTGATATGCTGCATCCTCACTATGTCAGGTTCACAGTACCCTTCAACTCCATCTCCAAGATCTGCATCAAAGAAGCTGGCTTCTCCCCTTCGTTGTCTTTCCTTGAAAAAATTTGAAGAACCTGATGATGAGACTGAACATCTTCAGCAGCCTAAAAATGATCCCTACCAGGATATTGAAACAGCATATGTTGGTCAAATTTGCTTGACTTGGGAGGCACTTCATTGTCAATGCTCCCATATGAGTCAGAAGATATCTTGGCAACCTGAAAATCCTACCTGTTACAATTACAGTGCACAGCAGTTTCAACAGTTCCAAGTTCTACTACAAAGGTTTATTGAGAATGAACCTTTTGAGCAGGGCCTTCGAGCTGAAATTTATGCTCGCACAAGGAATACTTTACCTAAACTGCTCCAGGTCCCTAATATACGAGGTGAATTTTCTGTAAATCATTTAAATTCAATTGGGCTATCATGGATATCACTGAAGTTATTAATAATTGAAATAAAACATTTTTATTAGTTGTTTGTCACTGTACGTAATTATGCATTTATGTCTGTATGAGCTCAACTTTCTGAATCTATTCAGGTTCAGAGCATGAATTAATAGATGATTCAGACACCAGAGTTCTTGCTCCTGATCTTATCAGGATAATTGAAAGCTCTATCCTTACATTCCATCTTTTCCTGAAAAGGGACAAGAAAAAGTCAAGTGGTGTTACAAACCTGTTTGGAAATCAGAACCAGCTTGCAACTCCTCTACAACAGGTTCAATTTACTCTTGAGAAGGTAAATTCAGATACTTGTGATCCAAGTTTGCAGTTTTATATGGTATACTAATCAACCTTTGATGCACATAGACAATAATTTTAGCTTGGCCATCACTCCTCCCAATTATAAGTTTTTTAGGCTTGGTAGTTAAAAGTTGGTAGTGTGTTGTTCTTAGAATGTTACCCTCATTATCCATCAATTCTAGTTGTATATTTAAATTGCTCTATGTTTGACTTCCACCGTTTGGTTCAAATGGCTCTTTAATATGCTTGTTCTAATGGTGACATGCTAATAGGCTTATTATCAGCGAATATGTTAACCATGTTTTTACTTTTTAACTAAATGATTTTGAGAGCTTTTTCTGCTTTTAAATCCCAGTGCAAAACAGCTTGTTTCTCAGGTTTCTTGTTTTTGATGAAATAGGTTTGGGACATATAGGTGGATCAAGGAATTTTATAATATATTCTTAAGGTGTGCCAATCATCTATCTAACATTTTATGCACTACCGTCGGTAGAATTACTTTTCTGCTGCTAAAGATGATGCTGGCAGTTGAGCCAATGTGTTTTTTTGCTATGCCTGCCGGACATTACGGATGATCAATCATGTGACTAAGAAAAATATCCGTCTTACTTTATTTTCTTCTAAATGCAGAAAGTGGCGAAACTGAAGGAACTGCGTAGAAAGAAGAAAGGTTGGAGAAAGAATTCTTGGCCACAAAAGCATGAGGACATTCAGCTATTGCTTGGCCTTATTGACATGAAAATCTTATCAAGGGTTCTGAAAATGACGAGGATGACTAGAGAACAACTGTTTTGGTGTGAAGAAAAGATGAAAAAACTGGATTTATCACATGGAAGGTTAGAGAGGGATCCATGTCCCATCCTCTTCCCTTGCTAGTATCAGTGAATAGCTGCGGCAAAGTATCATCTTAAGTTCTTTCTGCTTGGAAAGGTAATTGTTGCTAATATAAATGCCGCTTTTAAACGCCAGATGGGCTTCCCGTATCGCCCTACAGCTGCTTAGGATGTCTTGGGAAGAATTCTCGATACTTTATGATAACCAAAGAGTGTAACTGTAGCAGAAGCCCATCATATTTGAAGGATTATGTTAATATATTTTAAATATTAGTAGTTAATTATGTTAGTTTTCTGGTGTGTATGTTATAATTTAAATAGATTAGTTGTTATGTATGTCTTATAATATTGCTATTGTAACTGCTTTTATTTAAACTCTGTAGTAGAACTCAGAATGTGAAGGAGAATTAATTATGTTTCTCTTCCTTTCCTCCGTCTATTTTTTTTCTCCCCTATAATCTCTGTCAATTTCCTCGTGTAACCAGATTACATGATGAAATTGACAGAAAAAAGAAGAAAAAGAGTTAATTCTCCTTCATATTCTGATTTCTACTGCATAGTTTGAATAACATCAGCAGTTACAACTGCAATGTTATAATTGTAATTAAACAGAACAATTTAAATTCAAACGGAAATACGTGACTAATCTATTTAAATATTTAAATTATAACACATACACACCAGAAAACTAACATAATTAACTACTAATATTTAAAATATATTACCATAATCTTTCAAATATGATAGGCTTCTGTTACAGTAACAACGGTTTTCTGTAATCTTAAATGTATTATTATTCTGTTAAAATCGTGATTTTCCGGGATGTTTTGTAAACTCCCTGTATAACATAGTTGTTAAAGACTATTCTTGTTGGTTCTTTGACTCCATTCAACTGAAATCGCATGCTTCTTTTTTGTCTGAAAATAAATAGATACTAAGATAAAGAAAACAAGAAATATATACCCAATGGGTGCAGCTCAGTTGGTAACTTGACGCTGAGTTAGTGGGGTTGGATATGTGTTCGATTCCCGCTGAATGCATTCTTGGGGAGGGGGCTGAACCTTTAGCCATCACTGTTCCCCCGCACTCCGAATTAGTCTCATAGCCGGCTCAAAGAGTCGAAGCTCGTGAGGATACCGGAGGGAGCCAACTCGTCTCAAAGAGATAGTTAGGGTTGGGTAATTTCAAAAAAAAAAAAAAAAAACAAGAAATATACGATGTGTTTGATTGTATTTTGATTTTTGTTTTTAGTGGAACTCACTTTAAAATTTAAATTCATTTCACGACATAAGACATGCTCTCTCATATAATATGAGATTAGTTTAACCCAAAATATAAATATATAAATCATAAAAATAATATTTATTTATATTATAAATAAGTTATTTTGAAATATATTTACACATTCAAATATTCTTCTGTCATAAGAGATAAAATATCTGAACTTTAAAACTATATCGTTTTAAGAATTCTTTTGATTTTTTATTATATAATTTTTTATCAAAATATTCTTCGTTAATTTATCGGACCATCAATGACAAAATTTTAGGGTTCTATCAATAAATACTATAAACACTATAATTTAAGGGTTTTATTAATCTCATGCAATAGGAGAGAACTCTCTCATGCAATGGAGATAATTATGTGTGGGATCTATCCATTATAGAAAAAGAAAAAAAAGAAAAAAAAAGTAACATGAAAATCGTATGTGTAGGAGAGAAAAATTCTCTCCTACAACATAAGAATATATTCTTCCATAATTTAATCATAGGTAGGAGGAAATTGTTTTATCCGAGAGAAGAGAAATTTAATCAATGAGGCATTTGATAGAGGAGAATTTTTTTTTATCCGAGAATTTCGATTTGCAAAAATATGATGAAAATATTCTGTTTACGTTAATATCCAAAAATTAAAAATTTAAAAAAATTCAATTTTTCAGAAAATCTTACAAAATATCTTGTACCAAACACGGCCAGGCGAGGGCCATATTGGTTACTGTTATTGCAAAAAACATAGGGTTTTATTAATGTTATGTTACATGATTTAAGTGTTGTTTTCAACACACAATAAAAGGGAGAGAGAAAGTGGAATGATGAAAGAGAAAAAAAACTTGTGGACTCTACCTCTTTAATGTGTGTGTAGGAAAGTACAGTTGTGTTATGTTACATGATAAACATAAAACTCAAAAATATATGTATAAAGTTTCCTCGTATTCGAATGCCTTGAACATATGATAGAATAGTGTCGTTTTTGCCCAATTTACCCTTAATTAAATTGAAAAATACCATTTTGGTATCTAATTAATTATAAAATTATATATAATTTTAAAATGAATTAATTCAAACGCACGTAATAAATGATGAATTACGAAAAAAAAAAAAAAAACTGGCACCTTGATGTTATTGTGAATGGTCAAGGCACACATGAGTCATGACATGACATGACATGACGACCCAGTCAGTCGTCTACATAAATAATATTTGTTTGATATTGATGGTGTTGGTAGTTGTGTACTGTATGCAACCCTAACTAACCGGGCATAAGACGAAGCGACGAATAAGAATTGTTGATTTTGATTCTTCAATAGAGTCAGTTAATTTAATTAGGTTAAGGATAGAGAGTGAATTCGAAACAAGAGTAGAGTTGAGTTGAGTTGAGTTGAGTTGCGATGGAGGAGAACAGAAGCAAAAGCGGAAGCGGAAGCGGAAGCGGAGGCAGAAGGGATGGTGGTGAATTGGGAAAGTCGATGATAGGGTTGGTATGCGGTACACTTGTTTACTATCACTGTGCCTTCAGGAATTCAAGCATCGTCTCTCTTTTCTCCGATGTATTCATTGTCCTCCTCTGCTCTCTCGCTATTCTCGGCCTTCTCTTCCGTCAAATGAACATCCAGTCAGTAGTAGTACACCACTCACTACCTTTCTTATTCAATTCTCATTTCATTTCATTTCATTTAGGGTTTTCCAATCCCAATCCAATCTAATTCAATCTTAATTGTATTGTATTATTGTATTGTATTGTAAATAAACAGGGTACCTGTGGATCCACTGGAGTGGCAAATATCTCAGGACACTGCTAATACCATTGTTGCTTCCTTAGCTAATACCATTGGTGCAGCCGAGTCTGTCTTAAGGGTTGCCGCTACTGGCCATGACAAGAGGCTCTTTTTTAAGGTTTTCTTTCATTTTACATTCTTTTCATTTTTCCCCCCCTTTCAATCAACTCTTCTTCTTCCTTTAACATTTATATTTATTTATATATCATTCCATTCTGCAGGTCATTGTTTCCCTTTATCTATTATCTGCTCTTGGAAGATTGGCTTTGGGTATTACCGTTGCCTATGCTGGTACTTTACTTTACCTTTTATAGACTCTTTCTCCCCCTTTTCCTCACCTTATTTATTTTATTTTCAGCTAAACAAATAATTATAATTAGCATCCTCCTTTTTATCTCTGCTTTCTTAACGTGTATATTTATAACATTTTACAAATATCAGTCTACTATGTGGTGCCTGCTGCCTGTTTAAAAGTTTATTGCAAGTGAAATTTTTTTTTTTTTTTTTTTGATAACATGCAAGTGAAATTTTAATTACTACATTGATGTGCCACTTTCTTGTTTGATACTAGAAGAGGCACTTGCAATGTGGGTTTCAATTCTAAAAGACTTTGGCAGTTTTGTTTCTTTGCAAACCTTAAAACTGAATGTAAAGATTATCTGTAATATATGAAAATAATTATTCAAAAAGACAAGTTCTTTATTAATAGGAGTTTGAGTGGTGGGCCTTAGTGTTTTATTTCTAAATTCTAATAACAATGATGCGCTCTCTTTGTAGTTATAGTAAAAACAAAATATTGAGCATTTTCTAAAAGTAAAATAGACACAAGTTAGAAGAGGATTCCCTTTCTGCAATTGATAGTGGAAAGATTTTACGCTGGCAATGAATCAAATTTAAACTGTTATCTTAAATAGAAATGATTGTAGTTTATTACTCAATCTGCATCTGCAGTTTAAAACAAGCAAAAGAATAATTGGCTACTGCATCGCCTTCGTAGCGTCTTTGGCATTGACATACTTTACTCTGACCAATGCTTGTGCTGTTGACTAGTATCTCTGATGATGTTGAGGATGCAAAGGATTTCATATCACTTTTCATGAATATCACTTGGTGTTATGCCGTGATAAATAACATTTCCTCAACATTGCCATTTTAATTTGAAATATGTTCTGGTAACTTTAAATATCCCACGTTAATAAGACTTGCCTGTTGTTTTAAAAAGACATTTAGGGTGTGTTTGGGAGTTTGGAGGGTAAGGAAAATAAAGGGTATTCCCTTGGGAGTTAAAAATCTCCCTCAAACCCCCCAAATTGGGAGAACTCTAATTTTAAGGATAAGAAGGGTATTGGAGGATTTTACAAAAATCTCCTATTCTCTTCCTCCATTTTTTTAAACTCACAAACAAGGGGAAGACATAAGTAAAACCTTTCATTTCCTTCCTTTTTTCTCTTAATAGTGACTCCCAAACACACCCTTAAGTAAAATGGATCCCTTGCATGTTTATTACTGTATTCCAATGGATAGAAGGGGCAGAACCTGGATTCAATAGAAAGATGGAAGGCCCGTCCTTTTTATTGTATATTGATGGACGGGAAGCTCTACAATTTTCAAAATGATTGCGTTCAACTTTCGTAATGCTGCTATGTGTGAACTCACATTATGTTTGTACAGGACTATGCTTGTTTTGTCTTTACATGCTCGCGGAGTGCTCTCAATCAATCAGCTCCGGTGTGGCCTGGTTCTTGGGAAGAAGAAATGACACTAGCGGAGAACAAGACACGATCATGTAACATATTCATTTTTTGCTTGCCTTTTGGTGAATATTTAATGTCTATTCTGTGGCTAAATTGAAAATTGCAACAATCTATCCATCATATAATTTAACTTGTGAATAATCTTGTAAATATGATGATATTTTATTCCTCAAAAGATGACCCTCTTTTTTTATATCAAAATAGCTTAATAGTTTCGGTTTCGTGAGTGTATCTTTGGTACTGTGAGAGTATGTATTCCTTTATTAAAAATAAGAAAATGTGGGACTTGGGAAAGAATAACCATAGAAGGGTGGATAAAATGGAAAAATTATTTATATTTTTTTTTTTCAGATTTGGTAAAACTACTACTGTAATTCTGAAGATATTTTCCTGTTTCATGCTATCAAATTGTTGTCGTGTGATGTCCAGAATCTTTAAGGATTATTTTGATGTCAATAATATATTGAGGAACTATTGAAGATCATTTTAAAGACCAAATCAATATATCCATTATTTGGGCTTAACCAGATTTTTATTATGAAAGAGTGACAAAAGTTCAGAAATATAACGATGTAAAACAATGCTTTCTGTGCACTATTCTTTTCAGGTATGCCCGTGTGAACTCAATGAGAATCATTGTTCAATGGGAGAGAAATGAAAGATCGTCTCATGTGTTATTTTACGTTACCATAAAATAATCCTAACGATTCAAGGGTGATTGAATGGCGACAAAAGATATATGAGAAAAACTATTGAAATAGAAAGTTAAAAAAACATCGCTGTTAATTTATTTATTTATGGTTAAAATCTCCTTGTATAACAATATTATGTTAAATGACACAAGATTATCCATTTTGGTGAAAAATAGAGATGAAAATAATATTTGTTGTACTTTCCTAAGGCTAAGAAAGAAAGGATTTTTTTTTCCGATGATGCTCTGTTGAAACTTCTTTCCCTTGGTTGTGCTGCTAATTGACTTACTTAAAATCCATTTCTTTGATCGACTGTAGCAAATTAACAAAACATGCTGTACTTTACTCAAAATTTTTTTGCTATACCACAAAAAAAAAAAATAGTTTTGCTATAGATTCGTCGAAGTCCCAGAGGAAGGCTTGTTCAATTCGCTCTAATCGTTTCCATTATTTTGAATCTCCATTTCCGTTCAAATTGCAAAAAATTTAATACTTGTTTGGTGTAACGTATAAGACCTGATAATATAAGCTTATACTATACATTATGACATTTTCAGTTGTTTGGTGTGATCATCGTATAATATAAACTTATATAACAGGACCCCTTAATACATCAAAATAATGTATAACTTAATCCGACCTAAGGGAAAAAGATTAGGCCTGATAAAGGATTGATATATTAGTATTGCTTACAAGTGCAATTTTCAAGAACTAATATATCATTTTAATATTAATATATTAAAATAATTTTTTTTAATATATTAATTTTTAAAATATTATAAGATATTATTTTATATAATACCATACCAAACGCTGAATAACATTAAAATTTAATCAGATCTTATATAATCAGATCTTATCCAATATTATACACCAAACATGCCGTTAGTTGATTTTCAACGCGCATTCTATTTGAAAGCCAATACTGTCACAAACTGCATGCAAAATCCTACTACACGGGGAAGGTTCAAAAGCTAAAACGTGCAATGCAAAACAACAAAATCTTCGTCGAATTAAAATATAAATATAAAAAATAAATAAAATAAAATTGAACACCAAAATCTTCGTCGAATTAAAAACAACAAAAATAGAGCACAAATTAGAATTGACGCCAGGTGCATGTAAATGTAACAAAACATACTAATAGACTAGTTGTTACGAGAGGCAATAAATGTACAATTTCTGTCTTGATAATTAAAATTCCAATTGGAATGAGATTCAACAGTTATATGCTCTTCGTAAATACGAATTTTGAAGAACCATCATGCCGAAGAGGCATTATATATATATATATATATATATATATATATATATATATATATATATATACTCAGATCCCAAGGTTTCTCACTTATACTCGCCAGTTAAAAATAATCACGAGACCATATATATGTATGTTTTAATTTTTAATAAAATAATTGTCCAAAAACAAACCAATACAATTTGATCTCATCTAAACTTTGATGGAAAGAAACAAGAAACAGGGGAAACTTCTTCAAACTCATTCTCCCACCTTTTTCTTTGATGATAATCTTCCGAAATCAATATCGAAACCAGAAAACTTGCAAAAAAAACTGGGCTAACTAACTGGTTAGCAGGAGTTACCATTCCAACGAGCTAGCCAACTGGCTGCCATCCAAAAAACCGTTATCCAATTTTTTTTTTTTTTTTTAACCAGGTATTAAGTTATCCCATTCTTAAATCAAAAAGAAAAAAATTATATTACCAAAAAAAAAAAAATGATAATGGGCGACAAGCATGAGTTGTAGGGCTAACAAACCCACGTAACCTTATTAAGCTATAAGGAATTACCCTTCTGGACAAGCAGTATGTCTTTCCATGCTTCATAAAACATCCAGGTGATGCCAGAGGACGGCATGACCTTTAAACAGCTTGCACCCCATCCTCGGTAGAGACCCTTCAGACCTTCTTCTCGAATGACTTCTGAAAGTGCTGCTGCCATGTTTGGTGGGCACTTACCTTGCAAAGCTCCCACCATCAGGCGCTTCCTAGCCACCTCCAACGGGAAGCTAATTGTGCTGGCAGTAAAACCTGGGTGTGCAAAAAGAAATCATTTAACACAAACCATTTGTGTTACCAACTATAGAAGTTAAGGCTTCACACAGCTTAGATGTGAAGTTTGAATGAGCCACATTAATGGAAAAGAAAAGTACATCAAGTGAAACAATGGCAAAATACACTGCAGAGTAAGTGGTGTACGCCTATCAAATATACAATTAAAACTCGTATAATCTCTCTCTTTAATAGTAACACAACAACCCTACAGGTGTATTCTAGGAATGGCCATAGGGGATTAGGCCCTTCCCATGTTGATAATGCATTAATTATGGGTATCAGTCATGGGTGATTCTGTATTAATAGGGAATAAAAGATAAATAAGAAAGAATGGTAGGTCACGGGAGAGACTATTGAGTGGGTACAAATTGGGAGTTGGATAAATCAAGTGTCTCTTGAAGGCCCTATAACATTTTTCTTTCCTTTTTTGCTACTTTTTGTCTTGTTTTCACTGATTCCATACAAAAATCAATCAATATTCTACTTTCTTTTCGTTTTCATCTCTTCTTTCCTACTTGAATCCTGGTGTATTCCATTGTCTATTACAGTAGAGAATGGGGGTGGTGTTTCACCTGCAGTTGAAACTGGCAATGCAAATCAACACGCCCCATCTTTAACCCAACAAAACGAGGAAGATTTGCAAATGGGTTGAAAACACCCAACAAACCCTGTTTTATGGTGGGTTGCCGGGTCAACCCACTTAAATCATAAAAAAAAAAAATGAATTTGAATATCAAACAAGGATTCAACCTAAGGACTAGGATTTTCTTCATCAAATATTGTCATCTAACAAGCATAAAGAAAATAAAGCCACTCAACACACAAAAAAAAGGTACTTGAATATCAACTATGAGCTTAACATAATGAAACAATCCATTTAGGTGAAGAACAATTGGATAGGGAGAGAGAGATCGATTAGGTGATTTAGGGTTTAGGTGTGAAAACTGAAGAAACATAAGACCCAACACACTTTAGGTAACATTTTATTTTAATATATAATGTAACCTGAAGGGTCAATCCAACCTGCCTCCAAACCATTTTAAACTTTTAACACGCCTTTATGCACGGCAAGTTGGCAATTTAATAATTACAATCCAACTCACCAAATTTGGCAGGTTGAATTTGTTAACCCATTGAGTTAATGTATAGGGCTGTTAAACCCTAAGTGGTTAGTCCTACAAGCCTACAGAAGAAATTGTTAGGGCTTCATAACCCCAACAATCCCTTAGAAATTGCTTCTTGGGCAGCTCGAACCCATAACCTCACTCTAATATCAAGTGCTTACCACTAGGCCAAAAATTATAACTGTTAGCCAAGACACAACTTTTTTTCTTTAACCATTTGGCAATGCAGAGCACCATGCTAAGCGATGGGCGTACATGAGGGGCTGCACATTGGTGTCAACGTGCTGGGCTATTAAACCCTGGGTGGTTTGTCCTATGAGTGCACACAAGAAATTGTTGGGGTTCCATAACCCCAATTGATCTTGTTCTGCAGTGCTCTAGAGTATATGCAAGAGGTGAAGAGTGCAAAAGGCCAAGGATTCTTACCCTATGGCCAAAATCTTACTTACATAGGTGGTTGTGAAAATATCTAGAAGATATGCGATTGAGTGAGGCTGTTACTGCAGGTAAAGATTGTGTAGATGTAGTACCAATCATGGGGGAAAGCATGTTTCAGTGATAGTGGAAGGTGGTTATATAGAGAGGGGGAGAATATTTAGTGATAAGGATGTTTTATCCTGTAGTGGGTGTGAGAATGAGCTGCATAAAGGACCCAAATCACCAGTTCAGAACAGATACTATCACTCTTCCACTGCATTTGGGTTAAAAAAAAAATGTGGGAGAGAAATCAAACAGCATATGGCTAATTTTTTCATAACTGAAAATATTTCATGCTATCATTTGCTGCATGCAACATGGTCATGTATGACACAGGGCAACAATGGAGAGCAATAAAAGAGAAACATAAAGAATTAAGTCTTAACAACCACCAGAGAATCTCTCACCTGCTAGAGCTCCAACCAAAAGCAACTCTGGACGACTTAAAGACTTCTTATTTTTGGTCTGACAGTAAGATTTCTTTATTGTCTCATACATAAAATAATAACATGTACTGTATGGAAGCATGCCAACTAGAGTAGGTGAGATACCAGCATAAAAAGCGCCAATACCACCATCTTTATAAATATTTCTAATTGCAATGCCCAAATTAGGGTAGGCTTCAGGACTTATAGTTAACCGATCCTGTAATAACAAACCAGAAGACAAGTAGGATTAAAAACAGAGTGCAAGACAAGAAAGCAAAGCTTCGATATTCTCATGTCTTGGTCCTTTTTTTTTTTTTTTTTTTTGTAAATTGACTTGGTCGTTTTTAATTCAACTGTACAACCATATAAATGATATTGGTTGACGTGTCACCATGGAAGTCTGATGCATCTTCATGCCCAAATACAAAATTAATATAATCCATTCAATTTAATATATCCAGGTCTATTAAATATTCCTACAAGATACCTTCAAAACTTCCAGAGGATGGCATGAAAGTGTGCTAGCAACTCCTGCAGCTGCCCCTGCGACAGCAACCGGTGAAATCCAAGATAAAGATAAATTCAAATCAAAGCAACCTATCTGCAACTTAAGACATTCATTCTGTTTCCATTTCTCTTGGACTGATATCATTGCCCGTTTTACATACTCAAATGTGCCAAGCTCAATGGCTTGCGTTGGAACTATACGAATCATATTGATCATGTTTCCAGCCCACAATCCTTGCCACCCCTGCTGCTCTATAACCTGAATAAAACTTCCAGTGATATGTTTGGACCCAACACCAACTACCATTCTTGTCCTGCGTAGTTCACACATTATGGGAATGACAACAATATGTTTAAATTAAGTCATAAACTAGCTAGCAGATAGACATATTATACTAAACAAAGGGAACTTGAACTATAAAGCATAAATGTTGTTTGAGGGAAGAGGAACCTGATGGTCTCAAGAGGAGCAAGTAGAGCTTTGGTCATAGCCCCTGCTAGGGCGCCGCTAACAAACTCTGCAACCTCTCTAGTCCCTAAAAAATCCTGAAAGGGGGAACATTACAACACCAATCCGATTTGATTATCCATAATTGTCTTACTGTTTCAACACTGATTCCATAAATTGTAAGTAAATACTCACTCGGGCAAGGTGAGGTAGTTGAAATCGAAAATCAAAGGTGGAGGAGGAGTTATGGTCCATCTCTTTGGGAACCATCATCATGCTGTAGACGTCTCCAAACACCCCGTTCTTCTGCAATTCGGATAATATTCGTAAATAAATAAATAAAACAAAACCTCCTTTCTAATCATAAGGCTAAGCTATCCATATAATACAACAAAAAGACAAACAAGAAAGTGAGATTAAATGGACATGCCTGAGACTGAGACTGAGACTGAGCTGAACAAAGCCTTTTTGTTTTTGACGACATTTGCGGTTGTTGTAAATTTCTTCTTCTTTTCTCTTCTTCTGTTATATATATATATATATATATATATATATATATATATATATATATATATATTTTTTTTTTTTTTCACGATGTATTGGAGTAACATTTCAAAGGATTTTAATGAATTATTTTTGAATAAAAAAATAATTAGTATTCAATTAGGTTTTTTTTGTGTGGAATATATTTAATTAAGATTTTAAAGAATTGAAAAAATCACGTGTTATTCGATTAGGATTTTAAAATATTATTTTAGAGTCTGTTCAAATTATTTAATCAAAATTTTAAACAAAGGAAAAAATAATTATTCAAAAATATGATGATTTTAATGAATTTTTTTATTAGTGTGGATTTCATGAGATTTTTTTAGTGAGAAATATAAAAAAAACATGACATGATCATATGACAATCATAACCATACAAAGGTGAATCAATGGTGATAAAAAAGGAGAGAAAAAAGTATATTAAAATATGTAATTACTAAATCATAATCGTTGATTCACCTTTGTATGATTATGATTATCCTACATGACCATGTCATGTTTTTTTTAAAATATTAGAGGATCCATTTCCAGTATTTTTTGAGATTTCTCTTTTACAGTGTTTTCTTCTTCCTTTGGCGGGTCGACCCGCTCGAAATCGGGTTCTGTCATAAAAGCTTTGTCAAAGCTCAAAAACAGCATATTTTTCAGAGTTTTTGAAAGTTTAAAAATGATTTTTCAAGCTATTGATTACGATTTTTCTTGGCACAAAAATGTGTAATTTTATATTAAAAATAACATAAAATAGTGGGAAAAAAAACAGAGAACAAAAACTCCAAACCAATTTTCGGTTTACATCAATGAAACATGATCGATTTAAAGAAAGATTGAAACTTTCATAATATGAACCATATGTTTCATAACAATACATTCATTAACGAAACTCCTTCGTTATAGAAAACGATTTCAAACAATTTTTTGTGTCAATGGATCACTAAAAACTTGTTTTTCAAAAGTCACAAAACAATTTAAGGTTTCAATGTATCGATTGAAAATAACTTGAGAAATTTTCTAAACTTTCATATAATAAAACCCAGAAATTAAGATTCGAAATTTTCTTGGAATACTGAATGAAAATGTAACATCTCGAGCGCTGACGAGGGCCGGGAGTGATCGCCGGTGAAAAGAGGCACGGACAAGGAGCGACTTCTGACAGGCTTCCAATAGGGGTTACATGCATGAATGAATCGAATCGACATCCAAAAGAGAGATATTCAAAGACTATGCAGATACGAGACTGCACAGTTTGGGATATCTTATAAGAATTAATTGGTACTACCTATACTAACAAGATGCATCTGCTTTTCAGTAGCCTAGAACGAAAGAACTACACAGTTATGTGTGCTTGACTTGGAGCAATTCCGGGATGGGTGACCTCCTGGGAAGTTTTCTCAAGAAGTGTGCGAGTGAGGATAAAGCACCCTGAAAAGTCCAGTGTTAGTGTGTGGGGATAGTCATTGATTCTTGAAGCGGCAGGGCGTTACAAGTGGTATCAGAGCAAGGCCTCTCTTCCAGTGGTGTGGTTCGAGGACGAATCAGGCGGAAGCTGGTGGGCATGTAACATCCAGAGCGCTGAAGAGGGCCGAGAGTGATCGCCGGTGCAAAGAGGCACAGACAAGGAGCGGCTCCTGACAGGCTTCCAGTGGGGGGTTACATGCATAAATGAATTGAATCGACACTCGAAAGAGAGGGATTCCAAAGACTGTGCAGATATGAGACTGCACAGTTTGGGATAACTTATAAGAATTAATTGGTACTACCTATACTAACAAGATGCATCTGCTTTTTGATAGCCCGGAACGGAAGACTGCACAGTTTGTGATAGCTTATAAGAATTAATTTGTACTACCTATACTAACAAGATGCATCTGATTTTCGGTAGCCCGGAACGGAAGAACTCCACAGTTAAACGTGCTTGACTTGAAGTAATTCTGGGATGGATGACCTCCTGACAAGTTTTCCTAGGAAGTGTGCGAGTGAGGATAAAGCACCCTAAAAAATCCAGTGTTAGTGTGTGGGGATAATCATTGATTCTTGAAGCGACCGGGAGTTACAGAAAATATGCATATGATATATGGTTAGAAAACTCTAATTGCGTAGAACAAAAACCCCAATGTTTACAAGATCAATAGCAAAAAATTTCAAACAAAATTTTATCATGAATTTTACTGATTGAGAAAATTATATTATGTTATACTTTTATTTATTAATATCATTGCTTTTTTTTTTATTGACTTTTGTAATTTTGAATGTTTGTTAAAAATTCATATGACTTTTTAAAATCTAATAAATACATATTGTCTTTTAAAATCTTATAAATTCTATTAAAATCCAATCTTATGATATCTTAATTGTTAAAAAAGTCTTTAAAGTCTCTCTAACTCTAAATAGTCTTTTAAAATCTATAAGATTTTTTGTCTCAAAAAAGTTTTTTGAAATCTTAATCAAATACACCGCTCTTAAGGTATTATTATTATTATGGAAAAGTATTTTTCATTTTAAAGACATAATTTTATGTTATTTTAAGTGAAATAACTATGTTTTGACGTATATTTGATGATTCTTTTATATTTTCTTTCCTCCACGAAAAATTAAGAGAGAAGAAGAGATAGTATTTTAAAGGAGAGAGAAGGTAGAAAACCATCAAAACACAATCGTTTCATTTAAATTGATATAAAATTGTATCCTTTAAAGAAAAAATATTTGACATTTAAAATGACATAATTTATGCCATTTTAGATGAAACGACGACATTTTGGTTCATTATTGATATTTTTTACATTCTCTCTCACCTCGATTTTGGTCGAAGGCACTTGTAATCTTTGTGATTTGAGCTATAAGATAAGAAGGTGTACTCAATTGATCTTGTGATGGTTCTTGGTATTTCTTCTTAATGATAAAATGAATATCTGAATTACACTTATGTACCTAGCACCACTTTTATATTAGGGGGCGTTTGGTACAAGATTTTTTTTATCGGGGATAAATATTTACTGCAAAAAAAGTGGGAATTTTTTTTTACCGGGTAAGTAAAAAAAAAAAAGTGTTTGGTAGGCCAAAAGTTTTCAGAGAAAGTTGGGTGAATTTTATTGATGTTATGTTTGGATGATCGTAAAATATTGATGAAAAAGAGTACCAAAATTACCAAATAACCCCGATTTTGAAAATTGAATGTGTTTGTCATTAAAACTTTATTTGACAATTGCGTTATGTCTCTCTGTTTGAATGTTCGTATCTTTCTCTGTTTACATTGGGGTGAGTCTGAAATCCTGTATCCGATATTACGGGTGGAAGAGATCTCATCAACACTGCCAAGGCCGCCTTGTGACTAAATGCCCTTCTCTACCGTAGTGGCTAAAGATATAGTCCTTGATCTTGCCACAAACCGTCCTGGTGATCTTGAATCACCTGTGGCAGACCGTTTTGATGAGGTCTTAGAATTTCCCTTTCCTGGTGAAGAAGAGCGCTTTAAACTACATAAGCTCTATTTGGACAAGTACATAGCCCAAGCTGGATCAAGAAAATCTGGCATAATTCAAAATATGTTCAAAGACAAACCACAACAAATTCAGATTAAGGGATTGACTGATGGTATCATAAAGGAAGCTGCAGCTAAAACTGAGGGATTTTCTGGAAGGGAAATAGCAAAAATAATGGCAAGTGTCCAAGCTGCTGTACATGGAAGTGAGAACTGTGTGCTTGACCCAAGCTTTTTCTGTAAAGTGGTAGATTATAAAGTTGCAGAGCATCAACGGAGAAGAAACATGGGGTATTTTTGTCTTGCAAATTTGAGTTGTCGTTCCCACCGGGTGAGAAATAATTTTTACCATGCCTTTAAAGGGAAACTTTGATAAGGAAAACATGTGTAAACGTGATTGATGGCAAAAAAATATTTCCCAACCAATTTTTAACTCTTCCATGTACCAAACACAGTCAATTTATTTCTCCCACTTGGACAAAATCAATTGTAAAATTTTAATTTAAAAGAGAAAAAGAAAACAAGCTATTTGAAAACGACTCTCGGGCTAAGGACTAATTCTTATAATGTGGCCACATTTTAAGAAAACACATGATCCAAGATGCAATATCTGAATATGACTCCATCCAACTAAAATCAAATAACATTGAATCAAGCGGTGATTATACCATTACCGATATAAGACTTTCCATGGTCACAACTGTTACTTGACTCCGTCGACTAGTCATTAGTGTGGAGTGTAGCAAGAAAATAGCATGTCAATATGATCCAAAAACAGCCAAACTGCTATTTTCTCTGCCAGTCCTCAAATTTCTCTCAAATGCCTTAAAGCCAGAGAAATTCCATGGTTTATCAAAAAACCATCATTCAATAAACTATGGTGTCGACCACGGGCCCTGTAGTCCTAAAACACCATTATGTCTCAAACTCCCATATAGTGTCAACCACATACAAGATGGTTCCAACGACACTGAGTTCCAAAATCATGTCTCAAACTCCAATATAGTGTCAACCACAGGCACAGTGGTCCCAACGACAGTGAGTTCCAATATTTCACAATTGACAAACACAAACACATATATTCAATATATGCAATAACAAAACTCAAATCCTTATCAATTGTTCAAAATAAAATTTGTCTGTTAAATAAAAATCAATTATATCAAAAATAAATGGTTTAACATGACAAGGAAATAATAAATGATTCAAGCTCCCACTAATTAACTAAATCAAAGGAATTCACAATGCCCATATTCTTCACATGTATTTATAATGGGCCTAAATCCTTTGGTTAGAGAGTCAGTCAATATTCTCAATAATATACAATACAAGAAAAGGAAATTTTCTCCCACTGACCTTACGGTAAATATACTAACAGAAATTATTTTCATCATAACTCAAGAAAGTCACTACCTCATCAAATCACCATTAATGTAAATAAAATACATGATGATTTAAAAAAGGATAAAGAATTCAAAATCCTTTTCAAA